TACAACCCAGTTGTGCCCTTTTGAGGCTCTGAAACCTTCCTCCCAGTGGACAAAAGAGGGGTAGTAATTAGAGCAGGGATGGAGAGACAAGAGAGCTAGCGAGATGCAGTGGTCAAGAGTGTGGGGCCAGGACTCAGGCGATCTGGGTTCTAGTCCCCGCTCAGCCATGGAGCCCACTGGGTGACCCTGGGCCAGTCACAGTCTCTCAGCCCAACCTGCCTCACAGGGTTGTTGCTCTTGGGATAATACTGAGAGCAGCAGGAGGAGAATGATATAAGGTGCCTTGGGTTCGTCAAAAGAGAAAAAGGTGGGATATAAATCTAATAATTAAATAAATAAGATGGCTTCTGGGATCCTGGCTGGAGGACTGAGGAGGAAGGAATAGGGGGACAAACCACAGTGAGCCTGATCATATGTCAGCTGCACCCTGGGTTGCCTATTCATAGGGTGGCTTAATGTGGTGTGTGAACCCATATACAGATTATGCCTTCCAAACAAGATTAAATTTTATTTATACTAAGCCTTTCTGCTAACTAATTAATTGCACTATATGCATGTCCTGAATTTTTCTCTCTTGTGAGGAAACCAAGGCATAATGCACGTTTAGTCCCACAACAACAACCCTGTGAGGTAGGTTGGACTGTGAGTGAGTGACAGGCCCAAAGTCACCCAATGAGTTTCATGGCTGAGTTGGGACCAGAACCTGGGTGTCCCAACACTCCAGCCACCACACCACACTGGCTCCCTGGAAGTGGCCTCTCTCTTCTCAGGGTGACAGAGAAGTGCGTGTTACCCACAGGAAGCACAGCTCGCTCAGGCTAAATTCAGTACTTTGACATTCCTAGAGCTCAGGTGCAACATCTGGCATCATCTAAACTTGGTTGGCATAGCTTGTTGGAGAGAGAAGCAACCCTCAAATCACCAAACAACCCATGGGCTTATTTAAGCCATGGTTATCAAATGAACCATGGTAGAATGTGTGTGGTGGAGTCGAGGGTAGGCAACTTAATTGCTTTCTTTGGTCTCAATATTTCAACCCTTTCACTTGTAGTTGGGCAATAGAAAATTAGATGGGACTACAAGTCCCACAAAGTAGACTACAGGTGGGACTAGAAGTCCCAGCCAAAGTGACGTTTCAGTAAGTGGATTGGTTTAATTCATGCTTGGTGAAACTCTGTCTCTCTTCTGCAATAACCCCCCCCCCCTGCTCTTGAATGACCCATAAGAACCTGCCATAAGAAATTTGATCCAATGGTTTAACAGACTATATTTTCAAAGATCACTTGGCATTTTTTATTCAAAATCCACATTGATCTGCATTGAAACTTTTCTAAGACGTGGATGAACACTTGGGTCTCTCATATTTGCCTTTTCTTTTAATTTTGTTGTTACTTGCTTCCAAGTCATCTCTGACTTATGGCAACCCTATGAATGAGAGCCCTCCAGAATGTCCGGTCCAGGACAGCTCTATTCAGCTCTCCCAAGTTCAAGGCCGTGGCTTCCTTTATGGATTCAATCCATCTCATATTTGATCTTCCTGTTCATCTTCAGCCTTCAACTTTACCTAACATGATCACCTTTTCCAGGGTGTCTTGTCTTCTCATAATGTGTCCCAAGTATGATAGCCTCAGTTCTGTCATTTTTGCTTCTAGGGAAAGCTCTAGCATGATTTGATCAAGAACCATCTTCAAATGCATCAATTTTCTTTCTGTCATCTTTCTTCACCGTCCAGCTTTCACACCCATACAATAGTTTGAATGATTTTGAAATTGGTCTCCAGTAAGACATTCTTACACTTGATGATATTTTCTATTTCCTTCATCACTGCCCTTCCACGACTCGGTCTTCTTTGAATTTCTTGGCTGCCAACTCTCTTTGAATTGATAACTGAGCCAAGGTATGTGAAATCTTTCACAATTTTCCGTTATTAACTGTGAAGTTGTGAATTCTTCTGTGGATATGATTTTTGTTTTCTGAATATTCAGCTGCAGTCCTGCTTTTGTACTTTCCCTTTTCACTTTTATCAGGAATCATTTCAAATCCTTGCTGCATTCTGCCAGTAGTGTGGTATTATCTATGTATCTTAAATTACCATAGCATCATAGAATAATAGAGTTGGAAGGGGCCAAGAAGGCCATCAGGTCCAGCCCCGTGCTAGTGCAGGATTCCACGTTACATCATCCCCACTCAGATGACTGTTCAGTTGCATCTTGAATGTCTCTTGTATGGGAGAGCTCACAGCCTTCCTAGGTAATGGGATCCATTATTGTACTGCTCTGTCAGTGAGGAGATTTCTCCTGATCTGTAGCCTGAATCTAGTTTCCTGAAGCTTAAGTTTGTTATTCTAGGATGATCAAGAAGAAATCCTGTCCTGTCTCTTTGTGACAGTCCTTCAAGTATTTGTAGAGTGCTACTGTATCCCCATTCAATCTTCTTTTCTCAAGGCTGAACCTGCCCAGTTCAGTCTCTCAATCCCTCCTCATAGGACTTTGTTTCCAGCCCCTGGGTCATCTTTGTTGTCCTTCTCTGAACCTTTCCAGCATTTCTGCATCTTTCTTAAACTGTGGTGTCCAGAACTGGACACGGTATTCTAGATGCGGTCTGGCTAGTCCTGAGTAAAGGGGAACTAGAACTTCATGTGATTTGGAAGTGATACTTCTATTCATGCATCCTAAAATAGCATTTGCCCTTTGTGCAGCTACATCTCATTGTTCGCTCATATTGAGCTTGTGGTCTGCAACAACTCTCAACAAATTAGTGGTGTTTCTTCTGCCAATTTTCACTCCTTCCTCTGATTCTAATCCCACTTTCCTTAGGATGTGTTCTGCGAACAGATTGAACAGATAGAGAGATAAAATATATCCTTGTCTGATACCTTTGCCTATGGGAAGCCATTTTATTTCTTGGTATTTTGTCCTTCCTGTAGCTTCTTGTCCATGATGCAGATTACACATCAGGAAAATCAAGTGCTAAGGCACACCCATTTCTTTCAGGACCATCCATAGCTTCATGTGAGTCATACAAAGGCTTTGATATAGTCTATAAAGCATAGACTGAATTTTTTCTGAAATTCTTTGGTGAGCTCCAGTAGCCAACATATATTTGCAGTATGATCTCTAGCGTCTCCTCCTTTTCAGATTCCAGCTTGAACATTTCTTGCTTCGTATAGGGCTTTCTTGCAACACGGGAGAGTAATGCAATGGTCATATGATCGCTGCACACCTTTGCATCTCCTTTCTTGAGGATTGAAACATATCGAACATTTTCAGTCTGTGGACCTTTGTTTTGTTTTCCATTTTTGTTAACATATTCTTGTTAGATTTGGATTGATTCATCTTTGGTAGCTTGGAATGCTTGTACTGGTATCCTATCTACTCCAGGTGTCTTATTCTTTGCAAGTGTTTTCTGAGCAGCCTTCACTTCACTTTCTAATATTGCAGGCTCTTCATGGAATTTTGTAAGTATTCTAAAATACAGTGGCAGAAGTTTAGATTCACCTGGTTTCTTAGAAGTGCAGATTTTGCTGACATAGTTTCAGCAGACGGCCTATATATAAGATGTCTTTGGAAGAGTGAATCAAGGCAATGTATCCTCTGCTACCAGTAGAATATCTACTATATTTGACTGGGCGTTGTTCTCATATAACCCCAGTTCTCCATCAGCTCCACTGGCTCCCGATTGAAGTCCAGGCCCAATTCAAGTTGTTGGTTATGACCTATAAAGCCCTAAATGGCTTGGGACCTGGATACGTAAAGGAACGCTTGCTCCCATATATGCCCTCCCGCCCCTTGAGGTCAGCAGCAGATGCCCTTCTCCGGGAACCATCTGTGAATGACATCAGGAGGGTGAGTACCCGGAGGAGGGCTTTCTCTGCGGTGGCACCTCATTTATGGAATGCGCTCCCCAGAGAGGTCCACCTGGTGCCGTCGTTATTTGTTTTTCGGCGCCAGGCCAAGACCTTTTTATTTAAAACTTATTTTAATTGTTTGTTTATTTATTTAACTAGGTTTCTTTCTTTTTTTTTTAATTTTTAGCCGAGAATGCACTGAGGTTTTATTAAGGTTTTATGGCACTGGGGTTTTATTGTATTGGGGGTTTATTTATTGATGTTGTGAGCCACCCCGAGGCTTATTGCGATGGGGCGGCATAGAAATGTTTTAAATAAATAAATAAATAAATAAATTTATCAAATAGCTATTTGCTTAATGACCTCTCCAAGTTGGCTTATGCAGCTTGGTACAATGACCTGGTTCACAGGACTGGGCAGGGCAATTGTGGGTTGTTTAACCCACTGTAAGCCATTCTCTGTATGTGTGCATTTCTCTCTGTGTCAGCAACTTTTCCTTTTAGTCCTTTACAGATGTTGATTCAATTCCCATATGGTGGGGGTGAGGGGCTTTGGCTTTCTGTTGAAACACACTGGAATGCTGAAGTTCTTAAATAGCCTACAATGAACTCAATTGTATAACATACCAGCAGCTTGGCAGTGAATATTCCTTTTGTACTTTTAGGCCAAAAACAGAAAAGAAAAATCTAACTTTCTTTCTTTCACAAATACTGCATTAAAGGTAACTACAAGGCCACTTATAAAACATGCTGGGTCAGCTTGGCTGCCAAAGCAGAAGATCTTGCAAGAATGCCGATTGCTGTGATGATCTGAGCAGCTGAAAAGTGTTCAGTTGTGTGGGCTTCACCGTGACAAATGCACAGAGCATGTCGTAGCTGGAAGATTTGTTGATAACATCTTTTACAGTTCAGGGAACGTAAGAAGCCTTGCATGGCTTTCTTACATGAAAAAAATGGTTAAATGACTTTAATTGCAAATACCTGCCTAGAATATTTTCTTCTACACGTAACTATGGTGCTATTATATCCCTAACATTGAAATGTTTGTCATAAGAATGGCCATTCACAAGAATGGATAAAAATGGTTTATCCATTTCATTGCACCATTGGAAGTATTTTTTTCCCTATTCTGCTTTCTAAAAGTTTGTTTTTAGTTTTAGACAATGAATTAACATCCAGTGTTGCTAATGAGGAGGAGGAGGAAGACGAGGAAGAAGGAGAACAGTTTGACTTTGATAGTGGAGATGAGATCCCAGAAGCAGACAGACAAACCATTTTGCCATCCAATTTGGAGTCAAACAATAATATGGAACCAGAAGAGATGAGTTCCACAGGTGCGTTAGCTCATGTTTAAAGAGCCACAAAACCATTTTTAGTATTGTATCTGTTTATGAACATGACTCACCTTTCAAAATCACTCAAGAACCCCCCTCTCCCCGTAGACACCAGTTCTTGCATAGGAGTTAGTGTACAGAGAAGAAATCAGGACGGCACCCAGGGCCTTCCGCTTTCACTAGGCTGTTTGCACAGGAGCCTACATGCAATCTCTGCTTTGGAAAATAGAGGACAAGATGGCACACAAGTTGTCCATGCACATAGGATGCTGTGCCAATAACCCCTTGAACATGGTGCAGGCCTAGCAGCCACAACCCCAGTTCCTGCTCTCTCATGCTTCACCCTCATGATATATGAAATGAATGCTTGCACAGACATGCTGCAGCTGATATCCTTAAGAAGGATGGGAAGATGCTGTATGCATGCATGAAATTACCGTATCTTTTAATCCTGTTGAAATGGAGGGAAGAGCTATCCCAGTTAGTGCAACCCTGTGCCTGAATTGGTTGGTTTTTCCTAGCCATTTCAGCAGATCTTCTGGCTGGGCTCCTTCCTCCTGATGAGGGCAGTCTGCTATGGCCAGAGCCCCAAATCTGCCTGCCTCCCCACCCTGCTGTCCATGGGCACTTGCTGAAATGAAGATACTGATGGGGCTCTGATGAGCGCCACTGCATTGGACCCCCCAGGACAAGCTGGCATTTTGCCTGCATGTTCCTCCCCTCCTCCTGCCTCCTTCCTACCCAACTTTCTGTCTGGGGGATTCCCCCCCACCCCAAAATTAAATGCCTTTCTCTTCCTGCCCATGCGTCCTTTTTGATTAATAGGGATGTCTTTAGAAAACAAGGTCCTTTAAAGACACACACAGAGAAACTTTAGAGCATAAATATATTAACATATGCAACTGGATGCTTTTTGGTTTTTATTTTTTTGGTCCTGTGGGCTGGAGACCCGGATCTTTTCCACCCAAATTTTCACTGATGGCTTTATCCCTTCTTAGAAAACTTTTTGGGAGCTGCATGGGGGACTGCTGTGGGAAGGGAAAATTGGTTGAAAATGTTCTTGTACAAGGCTGTGCCAAGCTATAGCTTGCCCTAACTATAATTTACAGCTCAAGCCACAGTTCAGGAAAACAATCTCAAATCCAAACAATCAGGAAAGCTGTAGTTTAGAGTTGCCTGCCTATTTTAGTTCTGCTCAGCAGTCCTTTCTCCAGGTGCAGAGCATTCTGAATTTAAGGGCACGATGGATTTGGAGTGGGTGGGAAGCATTGCTTTTTTATTTCCTGCAGCAGCACTTCTATTTTGGTTTGTTTTCAGTGCTCCTTTTCACAACATCTTTTGCTCTGCATTCAAGGGAACGAAAATGTGGAGGGAGCTGAAAAGATGCAGAGAGCTGGAGCGAGTACAGAGGGGGTCCTGCCAAGAGTAAGCCCATACTCAGTCATAACCATTTCACCAGTGCAAGAAAAGGAGCCATCGCTGTCACCAGAGCCAAGTCCACAAGAAGGAAGTATAAGCCCTACCTTCTCCAGCGGATACTCTGTTCCAGTACCCTGTGGCTATGCTGTGCCATCCAATTTGCCACTAATACTTCCAGCCTATTCTAGTCCTGTTATAATACGCAGCATATCCGTAGACGAAGAAGGTAGTATATTTTTAGAAAGTATTGTTTATGAAATAGAATTATAGTGCAGATACTCTACAGGCATTACTTTCAGGAAGAAAAGGAAGACACCAGACATTCTGTGTAATCCAAAGTTTAGCATGTTGGATTATTCTTTTTGTTCTTTGATTCTTGCAATCCAAGATACAGCTTCTCTGGATCAGTTACACTGATCCTAAGAGTGGTTATTTTGGACTGTGGGAGCAATACACAGTAGGAATGAACAAATTGTAGGTCTCTGCATGGTTTCCAATGCTCTGAAGTGCTAGCTTTTTCATAGGAGATAAGGAAAATACTTTTGATATGGGAAAAGGAAAAATTAACCCCTTATATTTCTAGTTTAAATGTGTTGCCTTATACCATTAATACATTTCTCACTGTTGTTCATGTATCCCATCTCTAGCCTAGGGATGTATATTCATATCTCTTGCTAACAGGAGTAAAATACGTGCATGCATATATATGGAATATGTAACATGATGACTCTGTAGCAGGGTCAGACAACTTGGGGCCCTTCAGATGTTTTGATGTAGAACTCCTATCAGCGCTAGGCAGCTGAGCCAAAGGAAGGAAGGATGGGATTGGTAGGTGAAACCATTGGATGACCATAAATTTCCGCCCCTCTTCCTGCTCTTTCTTGTTTTGTTTTCGTCCCTCCCCACCCCGCCTATATTACCTAGCAAGGTAGGAGATGCTATATTACTGTCAAGAGGTATAAATATCGTACTGAATTGCATTTAAGAAGGGAGTGCTGTATTTTGTAAGTGTGTTAATTCAAAATTACTGTATTTTAACACTGCTGTCACTGACAGAGTATCTACTAATGTTGTTTTCCTTTCCCCAGCAAATATTCACATAGTAGGTGAGGATTGCCATTCCAATTCTCAGTGTTTGGAAGAACCTCAGAGCAGGTAAGTCCAAATACTTACTGGAATATACTTGTGGGGGAACTCCTTGGTAGAGAACTGTGGTGTCTCTGGGTGGAATGCCCTTTGATATTGCTGGATTGCTGTAAATAAGGGCAGAGCCCCACAGCAGCCTTCCCCAAGCTGGTACCCCCCAGACATGTTGGTTTGCAACTCCCGTCATTCCAGCTGGGGAGGATTGAAGTCACAGTCCAACAAATCTGGATGGTGCCGGGTAGGAAAAGCAACCTTACAGTAAGAGTGGTAGGAAATCGGCTCCCTCATTTTACCTTAAGCATCCTTCATTTTGGAGACGGACTGCTCTACCCACCTTTGGAGGCTTTGGTGAAGGGTGGTTTCTGTCTTCATGGACCTTTTTGGAGGTCTGCTAGGAGCATCTGGTGGCCACTGTTGGCTGAGAACAGGCTGATAAACTACATGGACTATCAGGGCACTGAATTTTTAGTCTTTTCTCTGTGGTTTCTGCAGTCCTGATTCCTTTTCCTCCAGCAGCTGCTTCCTTTGTCAACCCACTTCCCCTCCCTGCTTTTTCTTCATCCTTCCTGCAATTGACCTGACTTTACCCTACCTGTAGCATGCTTCCCTTTCACTATCACACTGACTTGATTTTTGGATACTGTGCTTTTTTTGACCAAAAGTTTTCTACTGCAAAAAGGGAACACATTTCTTGGGCAAGGCTAACAAAACCAGCTTGCTAAATTTAGACTTCCCATGGAAACATACTGGCAATACTCCACATGGCCATATTTGAACAATGGCCAGCAGTGATGCCAACACTGTCTTCTCAAGCACACTTATATGGAAGAAAGTCTGGCTGGGAATGGACATCAATGCTGCCTAGAGAGAGAATGTTCTGTTTTTGCATTGAGAAGGGGTTAAAGCATAAACCAGATAGAAGGGTAGCAACATGGTCTCCTTTTCTTACACCCAGTTTGGGAGCCCAATAGCATTGATGCCATGGCAGCAGAGTTATGTGGGAAGAGGTTCATTGCTGTGCTTGATGATCTCCAGCTCATGTCATAGAATCATAGACTAGTAGAGTTGGAAGGGGCCAAGAAGGCCATCAGGCCCAACGCCCTGCTGTTGCAGGACACCAGTTTATACCATCCCACTCCGATGACTGTCTGGACACTTTTTGAATGTACCTGGAGCTGCCCTGCTCTCTGCATGCAGTAGGAAGGGCAGGATGGTTGCTGGAAATGTAGTAAGCATAGTGCTGTAACCCAGCATAGACCCCTCACCTGCAGGCTCACAAAACTCTGGGGCGGGTGGGGTGTGTCTCTGTACACCCCTCCTGTACATGATGCACCCAATTTCACCAGCATCTTAGTGGCTGAAAAGAATTCTGTAGCTTTGTGTGTTTCATTTTTTCCCTGCACTGAGTTTAGGGTTTATTTATCAAAACAAGTCAGGCTTGTTTTCCAGTTTTTATTCTGGAAAAACACTGAATGGTAAAGGTGTAGCTGCTGCAAATATGCCTTAATTGTTAGACATGGTATTTTTAAATAATAGAAATATATAGTCAAGAACTAAAGTATACTCTAGGCCCATAGAACATAGGGTGAGGCATAGTGAATCAGAGCAACGTCCAGCATTCGGTTCTCACAGGGACTGACCAGGTGCCTGTGGAAAGCCCCAAGTAAGGCACGGTTGCACCAGTGCTCCTTGGCTTATGTTCCCTCACATTTCAGAAACAAAGGGATTTTTTGCATTCAGAATGCAAGCCTTTGCACACTTGTATTAAGAGTAACCCTCATTAAATTCCATGGGATTTCTAAGAAAGTGACTTGGGAATTTAAAGCCCATTTGTGATTTTGAAATTTACTTTTTCTCTGTGTACTTTTTCAAAGTGAAGATAATCAGGAGAATAAAGCTGATGACGCCTTAGCCAAATGGGCTGCTGATCCTGCAAACACAGAGTGGATGGAGAGTAAGTACCGGTAACTACAGTTTTTCCGCTATGACGAGCTGGTTCATGGGTCAGATTCTTGCTTGTATTGGAATGTTGGATTTAACACTGGCATGACTTTCCTCCCTTCTCTGGAAGTTTGGACTGATCTTAGTATTCAGGCTAGATTGGGGAATTACGCAATTTTTCTGCTCATGGGGATGCTACAGTAATGCACCTCCGATGTGTAAATTGTGGGCAGGATCCATTGGTGTCATGCCACAAATTCATGTAGTTCTAGTGGATCTCTGCCAAATCTGTCCATTGAGCAACCAGTTGCACTTTCTGTGTGCTCAGACTGAGCAACTGATTGTACAGTAGACTGCACAAATGGAAGCACAGTTGCTTGACTCAAGACATGTGCAAATGTAGCATTAGTTGCATTTCCCTCCTGCCCTGCTTTGCACTAGTACATCATGTGGAATGACACAGTTGGATACTTCTTTTTAATTTATGCGATATGGACAAGTATCCAGGACAGTCCTTGTGTCTGATTTCATCTCATTTAATTTATGTTAGGGAAAAACATTTTATCAGCAGCTGAGTGGGAAAACTTGTGTGCATGCCAGACAGAAGTAAGAGACAGATGAAGCTGGCATACTGGGCAAATTCAGAAATTTGTAAAGGTCATCATTGTACCTACAGTGAATCTGGAAAAGCCTTTCCACTACAGGAGCACTTAAGGAATTTGATCTTTGGAGATTCTGAAATAAATGAAGTTGATCGGTACCTTCTGGATTAATACGTAGATTTGAATTTAGTTTTCCACTGGCTTTTATATTCCTAAATTTTTGAGACAGTTCTAGGAACAAATTTGTGCATTCTCTTAACATATAAAAACATGCATCTGGGGCAAAAAGGCATTTACAGTATTTATCTAAATCTGTACAAAATACATTTAAACTGTACATATTACAAGGAATCAAGACAGAATAGGCTTAGGGTGATCAGAAGTAATCTGGATTGGAAGCATACTGCTTTTCGGTCCCTGCAACAATGCAGAGAAGAAATTGACAAGGCGCTGTCGCTTGAGAAAGGGCTGCTCCTGCTGGCCTTTGTGCTGGTGCTGGTAAACACTTTGAGCTGCAAGTCTGAGTTGTGGCCTGGGTGGCCAGCCATTTAGAACCTGCATTTGTACATGTGAAATTCCAACATGCATAAATCAGCCCTGCTTTATAAATGCAGCCATCTAGGGATGAAAAGGAAATACTTGCAGGGTGGTGTTTGGAAAACAAGGAGATGAGACATTATAGGCTTTCTGCAGATATCTGAGAACATATGGTAGAGATACTGTGGGGCGATTCAGGAGCAATAAAGGAGTTGGTACCAAACATCTCACTGTATCTTTTTAAATGTATGAAGGGGGTAACAGAATCAGTGGATTATATCCCCCCTCTCTTTAGCAGTTAGTATCATTTGTGTTGTAACAATTTTTCTTTAGCCTTTATTTCATCATCACATCTGTTAGGGTGTTGTTTAGTATATGTCTTGCTAAAAAACTTTTTAAAAGACTTTTGAAAAAAAGAAATCTCATAATAATGCACTCAACACTTTCAATTTTTATTTTTTTTAGATCCAGATGAAGTAATATATGATATGGTACCAAGAGAAAATTCAGACTCTGAACCAGGTATAATCTTAAAAGTCAATTTTTTTTTCTTCTGTAACCCATACATATTTTTCCAGAAATACTCTTCATGGTCACTCATCCCCTGTATTATCAGGCTCTAGGTCTTCCTTATGAATCTTAGATTCTACTTTTCACATTTGTTTCTGTTGAATTTCGTTCTGTTCATATCAGCTAAGGAGCACTTAGACTGATGAGCCTGCTTTTTAAAAGTTTTGTATCACACTTGATTAAAGTCACTGCTTGCAATGGCAGGAGGCATAGGAAAGGAAGCTGAACAATGCAGTGGATAATTCTTTGTTAAAGTGCACATGAGTGGAGTTGCATTTTTAGACTTAGGTACGGCTATAATTTTCCTGATATCACAAATTATATATGCGGCCAGATTTTATGCCTTTAGTATTTAATAACTGGGGAAAATGTGTTGTTTGGTGTATGTAGCAATTAAACCAAAATTAGCTTGATGTCTCGGAATGGTTAGGTATGCACCTCTCTTTTATATTGTATGACAGATATATATGGCTGTGCATCTGTGTACGTGCATGCATGCGTACTCACTTTAAATTTGGGATTATTCACTTAAAGTATATGAAATTGTATTTAAGCCCAGAGTTTGTGCAAGGAATACATTGTGTAAATATGGCAGACTGGGAACTCATTATTAATGAAAATGCGTAGAAATAGAGTAATGGAAAGAAAGAAAATGCTGTTCTTAAAGCACTATAATGTCATATATGCATAGGGATAAATTTATTAGCTGTATGATTTTCAATCTTATTTCCAGAAAACGCAAGCTGGAAAGTTGTGACCTTTTTTGTTCATTAAAAATAAAACCTGAGAAAAGTACATTCTCTAGAATGTATAATATGAAAAAAAATCAAAGCTAGATCCTCATTTTTAAAATATGTGATGTGATAATACATACTTTGCCTTTTAAAAAAGACCTTTTACTAATTCTTAACGCCTAGACAGAAAATTGCAAGTGCTACCTATAATTTTTCACTTTCAACTTGGTCATGGTAGAGAAATGTTCCTTGTTTAACAAGCCTGTGTAATTTATAAGGAATGTAAACTACGCCATATATTAACAAAAATATATGTCACATATTAATGCATGCAGAGGAGATGATTTACGATGATGTTGAGAATGGAGATGAAGGTGGAAATAGCTCTCTTGAATACGGGTGGAGTTCAAGTGAGTTTGAAAGCTATGAAGAACAGAGTGACTCAGAGTGTAAAAATGGGATGCCCAGTTCTTTTCTGCGTGGCAACCACAGAAGACAAGTATGTAGCTTTATGACAGTATTTTTCTACCATATTGTTGATATGCTTCCAAATACAGTAGCTGCCCAGGCTTTATGTTGTCCAGTTTTTCTCATGCATCTCATTTCAAACCACAAACACTGTAATTCAGAGTGAAAGGGGAAAGAAAAACTGAGGTGGAGTGAGACACAAAAGGAGCTTGATAAATGCATATACATGGAATTCTAAAGTATGCCTATTTTCTGTGGAAGCTGAGTTTCCGCTTTATTTGGTAATGTCTAATGAACGCCATTGATGTTGCTTGTATTGAAGAGAAAAGACATGAATGTTGCACAAGTTTCTTTCCAGCACATTTTGCAAAAATTCTAAAACTTACCAGGATATAAATTGTCCTTTCTTTAAACCAGATCTAGTCCACTCCCTTAATTAACTTTTCACTGATCGTGATAGCCAACTGATTACAGTCCATAATGCTTTAGTGAAGCAGCTGGTAGAATACCTATAAGAAGTGCAATAATACTTTGGAATTCTTGACCCGCCTATAGTAGGGACAAATCTCACATTGCACTTTTTTAAAGTATAATTGACACCAGAACTGGGTACAAGGATTAAAGGATTGTGAAAGGAGTAAAGAGGATTTCTTAAAAACAAACACACATACACAACCGGGAGCACTCAAAACATAAAACATATTTCCATATGTACATCTTTATACTAATGATACATATAAATATTGCATTTTAATATGCGATGAACAAATGAGTATTTAATGTAGCTACATTGTATTGGTTCAGATGGTTGGAAACTTGTCATGCCTGTGAATTTATTTTTATTTGTTTAAGTTATTTTTAGATCACCTTTAAGATAAAAGACAGTAAACCAGAAAGAAACCCATCTGAGTTTTAGTTTTAGTACATGCAAAAGATAACTACCCTTTTTACTGGTTACCATCCCTTATCTTATCTGGCCACCAGCATGCATGATACAGCTCAAGCACTTTAGAGTGAAGTTTAAGATTGTATCTTTTTGTATGCTATAGCTTTCTCATGAAATAACCCGTTTAAAGGAGCACTATGAAAAAAAGATGAAAGATTTGATGGCAAACACGGTGGGAGCAGTAGAGATTCAGCAACTAAAGCAAAAACATGAGCTGAAGGTAGTGTAGTTGATTTTTGTAACAAGATAAATGTTAAAATTGTTGTTCGTCAAACACAATGCAAGTTTTAATAAACAAAACTGATGGGAAAAATTGGACAGTGTGTATTCCTATTGAGCTGTCTGCATTGCCAGTGACCTTAAAAGAACACTGTCAAGGACCTTCATGCCAGCTAACTTCTCTTTGCCCTGCAGTTTATAACACTTGTGAAGGGAGATACGAAACAATTGTCTCTATTGATTTTTTTGCTCTTGTATCACATTCTGATCCACACAGCCTTTTGGCTAAAGGCTGCTGAGGAGGCAGAAGCGACTTTGTCCTACATGCTAAATAAATAAATAATGATGGTATATTATCCCTGCTCTTTTGGATTTTAAACGGAGAGGTGATCAATTTAGTTGTGTTCTCCCTTTTACTTCAAATATATTAGAATAAAAAGATAATCTCTAATGGGATATATCAGCATTGTTCTTCTGCAACATTATTTTATCCTTTCAAAGTGGTCACTGAAAAGGAGGTTTTCTTCAGAAAGGAAACGAGATCTTGAAACAGCGTACAAATGTGAGCAAAAGTTTAAAGGAGCGTCCTCCTTCTCTTTAGAGCCATCCCTTGTGTGCAGAGACTTCCCATATTAGTTTATCTCCCCTCCACATTCCCTGCGCACAGAGAATCCTGCATGTAAAGCAGGAACTGGATCACCCCTCTACATTTTAATTGCTGCTGATTGTTCACCACCAGGGAGCATTAAGAGAATATGGTTTCTTGCAAATAGAATTAAGAGTGTGTTCAGTGTAATTAGGCTTGGAATAATTAGAAGAGGCAACACTGTTTCAGGAACATAACATGCCAATTATGTAGCTGATTTTCAGTGGGTTTTAAATGCTTTGGTAGTTGTGATGTCTTCTGAAGGAGAACCGAGCACTTGAAAATATGACATTCCATTTTTAATGCATTATATGCCTAAGCCAAATTCATTTTTTGATATTGGATGAAATTTGGGCTCTGTTAAGGAGTAAATGTTGTAAGTGTTAATGGAAACATGCATGCATTGCATGTGTGCTTTAGCAGTGCATATGTAATATTTGAAAGAACAAACAGGAAGGGCCAGGTTTGCACACCAAGAGACACACAACACTGTGTAGCATTGGCTATTGTCTTCAGCCTTGACAGTGTTCTTTGAAAGAGCAACTACTTGCATGCAGGATTTGCTACCGCATTACAATAAGCCATTGAATTCCACTCCTGTTATTCACTGAACTTGTAGGATGTGTTTGGTACTGTCTTGCAGATGCAAAAGCTCATGAGGGCAGCCAGGGAAGGCACCAAAGACGGCCTCGAAAAGACTAAGGCTGCTGTGAAGAAAGGTCGCTCATTCATTCGCACCAAGTCATTTATTAGTCAAGGTATGTGTTGATCACTTTTTTTCAAAAATTATGCCTGCTAATGTAGTTTGGAAAAAATATGACAGAAATAATTCCCCAATGTCCTTATTTACCGCTTAGTCAGAGAAAATGTTTTGGAAAGCCGATTTATCTCAGCTGTTACCAAGAGGGGGGAGCACATAGTACTGAGAAATCAATTTATCTCTTTCCAGATTAGAGTAACTGAGGTAAAAATGGCAAAAATGCTGATCCCTGCTAAATGCTCAGTATGACTAAATTAATCAAACAGTTATTAGCTTAGTTGTACTGAGGCATTAAATCACATAAAACCTGTGTATGTGCTTATAAATTGGATCCATTTCCAAACCAAATAAAGCAGCTTATATAATGCCATACCCAGAACCAGACAATATAACAAGTGGCTTGATCAAGCTTGTGCTGTTCTAAGTAACTTCTGTTTGTTTTAAACATGCATTTCTTCTGGTTGAGTATGTTGCCCTCCAGCCTGCCTCATGCCTTAGGACACTTGCCATACAAAGTCAAATGCACTGCTAATTCCAGCAATTCACTTTTGCTAATCTCTTAGGTCACATACTCCTAAGACATGCTTGTAGCTGACTTTTGGTCTATGCAGAGGAATGCTGGGTGTGGAAAGGGCTCTGTGTGCATAGTCTGAGTACTGGTTTATGTTAATGCTTTCAAGTGGATCTGTGACTCAGTTACCCAATGGTCCCTGCAGAGTGCTTCCTCTTGGAAGCTCTAGGAGCGATTAGGAGGTGTGTGTCAAGGCTGCGTTGGATTCCTAGGGGAGAAAGGCAGTGCGCACCAGTGCACTCTGCGGCTTGCTGAGCTCATGTGCCAAAGCTTCTGCTAACTGTCCTTTCAGTGGCAAAAGGGAGGATTTAGGAATCGATTTACTCTCTCAGTAACTCTCTTTCATGCCTATTATGTAATTGTCATCTGCCTCTCGTATCTGTGTTCTTCACTGCGGCAAACATTCCAGTGCATGCCATGTTCCTATCGGCTATGGTAATTACCCACTGAGTCCTATAACTGAGCTACGGATCATGGCTTTAAGTATTTGCTTAGTTGTCAATTCCCCCTACTTTAGTTGACTTGCAAGTTATGCAGTTTGTAACTTGTGACTGTGTCTCTCTTATGGGGAAAGGAGCAGCAAGGCGTCAAGGCGACACTAATTTTAGTTTTACATAGTTCTGTAAATTCTTGATTCTCTTTTCAACAACCATCACCTTGGGTTCCTTGCAGGAGGAAGAATTCAGGCTATAAATGGATGTTAACCATGACAACAACAGCAAAAAGAACAATCTGTTTCATGCTCAATTCTTTTATTAATCTCTGTTCTAATAGAGCAGAGATATAGAAACGTAGGCCTTGCAGGCCAAATTTGACCCTCTGAAGTTCCCTGAAAGCTACACTGTATTTCCTATTCTTCTCCCTTTCTATGTATTATTGGTTGTTCGGTAGTTTCCCAGCTTTGAGCATTTTCCCTCAATTCTGAAAGGTTGGAAGTTTAGAAGACTTAATTACTGGTAATAAGAGCTTTAAACTTCCATCTTCTGCTCTTGGCCACATTGACCACAAAATTGGCCACATCCAGTTTTGGCCTGGTGCTCTAAGAGATTTTATGCTGTTGTAGTAAAGTCATCATGAAATTTCTTAGCTCTGACTTTTCTGTAGTGACTGTTTCTTCTGAATGAGCACACACGTTTTGATAAATTTATACCCCAGACCTTCAGCAATTTTCAAGTCTTTCTATTTGGATAAGTATTCAGAAGATACTTAGAAGTATTCAGAGTATTCAGAAGATTGCATGAAAATTATTGGTAAATTTACACTATGTATATTTTTTTCATTTTAATATTTTGAACTATGGATTCAAATGTGCAGCTCAGATCATATATTGATAATGACACAAATGTAGAGATGCTGACCCAAAGCATAAAAAATGTGGTCACATAATGGGTGAAACTGTAACCTGGTAATTTTTCTAGATCATCGATCAACCTGTCTGGAAGAAGAGGAGCTATTTATTGATGTGGACTGTATGCACACAGAGGCAATCATGACTCCTATGCCTGATGGATTATCACAACAACAGGTGTGTATGTTGGATACTGTTGAAATCTAAAACAACACTGTTTAGTGCCTCTTTCTGTAAACCATTTATGGAATGAGTTTTGCAACACCATCCATTGACATGTTGTCATTTGCCTTTCACAGAAGGGAGATGCACATCAAATATTACCTGTCGAAGCAAAATCCTCATGTGCTGAATTCTTCAGAACAAATTGAGAATGTGAAAATCTTATTTCTACAAGCCTCTAATTGTGTCCAACTCTGTACAGACTGTATGTGAATGCACATTACATTCTGACAAGTTTATTTCCACTGCTAGTTTGCTAAACGTGTGAAATCTAAACTTTCACACAATAGTAACACTCAAACTGGCTAAACTTACCAAGTTAGTGATCTCTTACAAGTCCTGTACCTGATAAGCAGGGCTTGCCCAAGACCATTTGCTACCTTGAGCAAAGGTGGTGCATCTACTTCTGTTCCGTGTATGGAAAGTACCAGATGACTCGTACTTTGACACTGGCAATGGGACAGCACCTGTCACCTGAGGCAGCCAGCTCACTCTGCCCAAAGATTGGGCCAGGCCTCTTGGTAAAAGATAGATACAAAAGAAATTCGTCCAAGCCTGTACATGCTGCTGCTTTCCACAGGGTGGCATAATAGGATGCCTGATTCTTACTTAGCTCTGGGTGCGTGCATGTGTGTGTGTACGTGCACGCGCATTTGTCCATGTGTTGTAGCTGTACTTTTAAAAATACATATTTTTAAATATGTACCAACACAACTTTTGGATATTTGATCCCACTGTTCGTCAGCTTCCATATAGAAAGAACAACTGTAATTCAGCAAAGCAGCTGGTCTAGCTGACTGTGTGATGTGGGACAGTGTTGTGAGGTGTGGCCTTGTGCTAAACGTGCCGTTGCAGCCGCTCCGGGTGAAAGCAGTTGGGGCTGCTGTGGGTCCTCTGCCCACGCATCTTCAGACAAGTTCGCAGGGGTGTGTGCATCATTTCAGAATGAGTAAATGCAAGCCACTTTCACTGTTGAGGAATACCCTGGAGGCTAACATAACTAATCTGTGCCTCACTATGAAATAAGCAGCATATTATTTTAACATGAGTCATATCTTCAAGCTGTGAGAGGAAATTAGAATGAAATAAGTTTGCAAGCAGGCCTGTATCTGGAGTAGGGATGGATAAAGCTGTCACGTTTACTCTTTAGTGTATTAATTTTTAATTAATTGTTTAAATTAAATTAATTAATTGTTAAATCTCTAACTTTTCCAGTCTTGTTTATGAAAAAATACAGATTTTTTCAAATTCTTGCAAAAACAAAAAACTCAGCCATCTGCTTCAGCCAAAGAAATAAAATAGTAAGTTCCATAGCTATGCCCGGGCATAGCAAGGACTATATTATAAGTGCCTGCCCTCTACCTGTTTAAAATTTAAAGCCTGTGGCAGGGTGCGGGGAAAGTTGGCACAATGATTTTGGCACTACAGACTTATTTGAACTCACAAGGATTCAGACCCAGAATTTTGAGAGCTAGGTGCTCTGTTAAAACCTGGATGGGATAATCTTTTTTGCTTGCTTTCATCTGATTTCTTTTTCTTGTTCTTAAATATTTTCAAGTTTTTCCATCCCATTTCTGCCTTTTGGAAATGACAATGACAAAATGACAAAAATACTCACCAGTTCCTATTTTAGAATTGAATGGAACATGTGTCTTAATCCCTGTATTACTTTCATGTTGGCTGCTTCTAAGCTGTTTTCTAGAATCCTAAAGCTAACTGGTATCCTAAAGCTATATCGGTTAGCCAGGCAGGCAGTCTAGTTAGCGACTGACGTTTTGGTATCATTGCCTCACCATTATCATTTTGGGTCCCCTTTTCTGAGCATCCTTTCCTTTCTCCATCTCTGGTCTTTTATCTCTGGCTCCCTTTCCTACGGCCACTTCCCATAACATGGATCTCACACAGATGAAATGTAGATGACTCCTCATGGGGATAGTACAGCTCTAATATTGCAGGGGTGGCCCTCCCATGAGGTGGGGTGAGCCCATCCCTCTGGGGCAGTTGCATGGTCTCCCTTAGCCAGAGCTGCGAAGGGACAAGCGGGAGGTATCCCAGTGGTTCACCGGGGGCACCTCTCCATTCAAAGCCTGGCTCCAAAGCCCTGCTCAGGTTCTGTGACTCTGAAGAGCTCTGCCCGCAGCCTTCAGTGGCAGGCATACCTCTTCCGAGAGTAGATCTTTCTCGGACTAAGCCAGCAGTCACAGGGGCCACGACTTGCAGTGCTTTGCCTTAACTCCTGAAGCATTAGGAGCAGGGCCCAGTGTATGCACTGGCCTCTCTCAGCCTCACTTCTCCCTGAGGATAACCCATGTCTTGGCCTTAATCCTTGGGCAGAGTTTGAAGATGGCTGACAAGCCCTGTTGAAAGAGAATCTGCTGGGTATCAGCTGAAGACCTGCTCAAAGATATCTCTGAATCACAGTTTTCAAAATGTGATTTGGGGTGTGTGTGTGCTTTTATTAACAGGTGGTGAGAAGATATATTTTAGGTGCTGTGGTTGACAGTGAGAAAAATTATGTGGATGCTCTCAAAAGGATCCTGGAGGTAACTAAAAATCTTTTTACATCTTTGAAAGCGAGTTGATACTTTTATTGGAAATGAGATGCCACATTTGCTGGTATGTTTCATTGTTACTCATGAATTTGTTAATAATAGAAAAGATCTTTTCATTTGGACATAATAATGAGGCAGCGATTTAATTAATACTCTTTTTCATTTCAGCAATATGAGAAGCCTTTTTCAGAGATGGAACCTAAATTATTGAGTGAGAGAAAAATAAAGATAGTATTTTATCGAATAAAGGAAATTCTTCAGTGCCATTCAATGTTTCAGATAGCATTGGCCAGTCGTGTCTCTGAATGGGATTCCGTCGAAATGATTGGAGATGTCTTTGTTGCATCAGTACGTAAATGATCACAGCTCTGTAGTGTAGCTCAACTGGTCCAGCTCTTGTCTGCTCGATTCAGCTCTGCAACCTCAGCTCGTTTGGTAAAAAATTCAGAAAAATAGCTCTGTTCCAAACTCAGTTCTGATCCATATCGCAGTCATAATTTATTTATTTATATATTTATTATGAAATTTTTGTCCTGCCTTTGTTCCTCTGGCCACAACTCTAAGGCAGCTTATATGGTCAGCTTCCTCTCCCTTTTATCCTCACAGCCCCGTGAGGAAGGTTAGACTGAGAATCCGTGGCTGGCCCAAAATCACCCAGGGAGCTTCATGGCTGAGTGGATATTAAGACCTCGATCTCCCAAGCCCTGGCCCAATACTCAGCATATTCCTCCCTGGCACCCATGAAGCCATCTGGAGTAAAGCGGGAGCACATTTGGCCCCTCCATCTCTGCCTGTGTGTCCATGTAGCCTGGCCTGCCACCTCATCCTTTGCTGTCAGGGAGCGGGAACAGCAGGAAGGTCTTTCTGGAGACCTGCCTCCATAGTGACTGCTGAACGCAGCTGCAGCATGCCAGAGACTCCAGGAACCCCCAGGTGGATGACACTCATACCCAGGCACCTTGAGAAATCTGCATTCATGCAGGCTCATGGTGCTTTGGATGCTGCTGCTGCTGCTGCAACGTACTGGTAGGCACCCGGTAGGAAGGCTGAGATGCTTCAGGAGGTACCTGTAAATGCCTCCATTACTGTGGCTACCAAGTTGGGTAACTGGGAAGCTGGAAGGGAGAAGTTCTTCTCTAGCTTGGATTAAAAGTTAGAATGGAGAAGTATTCACAGGGCTAGAAGGCTGACCTCACATTGAGAGTGAATTTTAAATACATTTCTGCCCCACTTTCCCCCATGGAATGTGAGGCCACCTATAGGCAGTCTCCTATCCAGGCAGGTCTGTCTTTGCTGCCTCATTATGCATTGCTGAAGTCCATGTTATGAACATTGGCAACACCGCATGCCCTTCACAGAGATGCTTGGACTGAGTGGATGCTTGGACTTTCCCTCCTATTTCTATTTCTGAACTGGGAGTCTTGACATTCAGCACATTGTTCTTTAGAACGAGATTTGACAGGTATCTAACATCACAGTATCTGTGACTTTAAGTATCACAGCAAGGGCAGATGTCAACATGTGCGGGGGGAACCTTGTTTCAGAGAAACGATGTGGCTGAGCTGTGATGTGTGATTCAAATTTGCCCTTTGTTCTTATTGTGAAAGCTCTAGAATTAGTACTGCTTTTTCATGTATTAAACTGTTTCTGCAGACTAGTCTGTTGGAAGCTATGGAAGCTTGATGCTTTGATTTGCAGCTCCTGCTTTGGATCTAGAAGACTTTCCGACTGTACTGTTTGGTTTATTATCTTTCAGTTTTCGAAGTCTATGGTGCTGGATGCCTACAGTGAGTATGTAAACAATTTTAGCACTGCTGTGGGAATCCTCAAGAAAACATGCGCCACAAAGCCAGCCTTCCTGGAGTTTTTAAAGGTGAGTGTATCCAGATTTGAGGTGGGACTCTACCCACTGAGGCCCAGATCTGGCTCTGGGCTGGCTTTGCTTGATGGCCTGCTTTTATCTGTGCCAGCTCAGCTCTGTTGCACAGCCTGCCAAGGCTGGGCCTGGACCTGGGCCTGTTGGAGGCCATGTCTGACAGTTTTTAAACAAGCCCAGTTTAGTTCCAGCTTGCATGCACAAAATCCCCAGTGTGCCTCAGTAATTCATTGAAATTATGCTAATCATTATACATTTTGCATTCACTTTAAGCGAAAAATGCAAGCCTACCATCTGTCCTTGCTGACTGACTAAGGCATTGATCAACAAATTATGTCACACTGTCCTAAGATGACCTCAGTACTACGCAAGCAGCTCGTTCTAAAATGCTCCATATATATTTGGGATGCCATATGGACCTGGAAATGTGCAGCCTCCGCTAAGGCTCCTACAGTGAGAGCAGTTTCAGCAGTTCTTGGCCAGCTGAGGTGCTTGTGGAGGTGCCTGCAAAGGTGCCTGCAAGGGTGCCCCTCGGCCATGTAGTAGACCAGATCCCAAATACCCCTGTCAATTGCTGAGGCTTGGCTGCTAAAGAGTTGGAGGGATGGAGATGGAATCCTGAGCAGGTTAGGATGGCAGCTGATGCGAGAACACCACAAGGGACATCCTCCTACCAATTCCTCTTGGTTCCAGCTTATTGAACTGTCATAAGTGGCACCAGATTGCAGCATGGGTTGCGATAATTCATTATTTTTAAACGAAAGTGTCCAACTAAACCTTGCTTTGCATCTTGTTTAAAGATCTATTTTCTGAGGGCATCCTTTGCTGATTTAGTGCTCATGTTAAATTGTTTGGTCTGAAGAGCTGAGCATAGTCATTTAAATAAATAACAGTATTATACTCTGCACATATGTGTATGCGTGTGTGTTTAAATGCTTGTGTTTGCATTTTCTGGCTGTGGGTTTATGTAGCCATATTAGGGCCGATCTGCATCTTCTACTTGCTTAATAGAAATTTGTGCTAAACTACCTTGACCTTCTGATCCTTTGTAACAATGAAAGCCTCGCCGCCTTGCTGCAGTATTGATTACGGAGCTACACTGCTGTGCGTTGTAGCAGTATTCACCCCACCCCCACTCGTTTGCCAGTCGCGCTTGCTTACCGCATGTCTGTGCCAAACTGAAAAATATTTTGCATCTTCGCAGAGGTGAGTCACTCCTGTGCATCAAGTGGTAGCAAGGCCACTTAAATCCATTTCAGTTCCAGGTTGTAGCACAGGAAAATGTGGAAAAGTCAAAGTATAGGAAGCTAGGTTTTAACAAGACCTGCTGAAAGAGGCACGCGCGTTATCCCGGTTCCTTTTGAGAACATCAGTGTAACTAATATATATATAAACGATTAAGATTTTCTCATTACAGCAATGCCAAGAATCTAGTCCTGATAGAATTACCCTCTATGGCTTAATGATGAAACCCATACAACGCTTTCCTCAGTTCATCCTCCTGCTACAGGCAAGTCATAGTATTAACAATGCAATGGATGCTATATTGCCTTTGAGCCAAACTGCATGTTACTTGGAAGGTACCTGGGACCATACCCCAGAGGGGGCTTTCAGGCTTTGCAGATTGTATCTGTAATGTTGTTGCCAATAGGACTCCCATAAAAACAGAGTCATGTGTAGATAAGCCTTTTGAGTTTGCTTTCTTGCTTTCTTCCTCTCTTATAAGTCTCTGAGCCCCTGCTTTCATATAGCATCGTGATAACAATGATTATGTTAGAATTAGTTTGTTCACTGACTGACTGTTCATTGGAGGCTACTTAATAGTTCTTTGGGTAAGTCCTGAGTAAATCAAAATATATATTTCTATTATAGGAACAACTGTGTTTCTGAATACAGTGCTGTTTCATCTGTTTCTCATTGGCCCTGTCAGAATTTAATCAACAATTATTATAAATCCTGCCCTGTTTCACCTGTAACTAAAGGAAAACTGCTTTCAAAAGGTGTGCAGAGAAAGAGTGCATAAATACCTTAAGAATATATGTCCTTTTATTGTTATGCATTTCACAATCCAATAGTTACCAAATACATGAGCATGCACGAGATTGTACTGCTCTGTCATGCACATGCTGGACTATTGTTGTTGTTGTTAGTCGCGAAGTCGTGTCTGACCCATCACGACCCCATGGACAACACTCCTCCAGGCCTTCCTGTCCTCCACCATCTCCCGAAGTCCACCTAAGCTCACACCAACTGCCTCAGTGACTCCATCTAGCCACCTCATCCTCTGCCGTCCCCTTCTTCTTTTGCCATCTATTGTGCCCAGCATTAGGTTCTTCTCCAGGGAGTCCTTCCTTCTCATTAGGTGGCCAAAGTATTTGCGTTTCATCTTCAGTATCTGGCCTTCTAAAGAGCAGTCAAGGTTGATCTCCTCTAGGACTGACCAGTTTGATCGCCTTGCGGTCCAAGGGACTTGCAGGAGTCTCCTCCAGCACCACAATTCAAAGGCCTCAATCCTTTTGCGCTCAGACTTCCTTATGGTCCAGCTTTCACAGCCGTACATTGCAACTGGGAAAACCATAGCCTTGACTATACGCACTTTTGTTGGCAGGGTGATGTTTCTGCTTTTTACTATGCTGTCTAGATTTGCCATAGCTTTCCTCCCCAGTAGCAAGCATCTTTTAATTTCTTGGCTGCAGTCCCCGTCTGCGGTGATCTTGGAGCCCAGGAAAATAAGATCTGTCACTACCTCCATTTCTTCCCCATCTATTTGCCAGGAAGTGAGAGGGCCGGATGCCATGATCTTAGTTTTCTTAATGTTGAGTTTCAAGCCAACTTTTGCGCTCTCCTCCTTCACCCGCATCAAGAGGCTCTTTAGTTCCTCTTCACTTTCGGAAATCAGACAGTTCTTCAGCTCCAGGGCCATGATACACATGATGAAAAACCAGGCCGGGCTGTTTCGACAGTATACCAATTTTGAGCCAAACTCAACTTTTGAGTCAGATGATCATGTGGTTACCTGGGCAGCATGGCTTCCACACTCCTTGCTGCACCCTCACCACACAAGCAAAGCCCACATCCTTTCTTTATTCCTGCTTATGGACTGCAGCAGCCTCCTCTTGATCAGTGCATTGTAGTCCTGAGATCGGTTGGTCCTTCCCCCTCCTGGGTGTACCTGCATTTCTGTACCTGCGGCACTTCCCAGTCAGTCCAGTCCCCACAGAGGTTTTTATTAGATGAAAATAAACCTTTTTGTCATGGCTTCTCCATTCTCCTTCCATGTATTTTCGCACTGTCTCCCTGTTTCCAAAAAGGGAGGGAGAAAGATACATCACTTGGCCAACAGGAATAAAGCAAGCCATTACGTGTCTGTTGCTAGCAGGCAAAGGGCAGATGAAACAGAAGGACAAAAGTGACCATTTCTGCAGCCACCCTCGTCAGGGGCCTCTCTGGTGTTTCCATGCCAGTAGTGGTAAAATGGTGATCCTGGGTCCAGATGAACAGAGAAGCTCCCCTTAAACAAGCCAGTTGATGTGAACAGCTGCAAGTCCAAGAACACATCTTGGACTCTGACAGTCTGCATGTAAGAACGAGGCACTCTGAAAATGTGGGGTACAGACAGTGCTTCTCTGTGTACCTTCTTGACATGCCACTTGCATGGTCAGGTGGATAATACTAGTAGAAGTAAATGGGGTGGTGATAGGATGGAAAGGTTGAGATGACCTTCTGGGTATATCGCAATCTAGAAAAGCAGCATCTTGAATTAAGTTGGAAACATGCCATGACAATTCTGCTTTTTTATTCATTTCTTTTTGATCTCTTCAAGGATATGTTGAAGAACACTACCAAAGGCCACCCTGACAGGCTGCCTCTGCAGATGGCACTCACAGAGCTTGAGACGTTGGCAGAGAAGCTCAATGAAAGGAAAAGGGATGCAGATCAGCGTTGCGAAATAAAGCAAATAGCAAAAGCCATGAATGAACGTTATCTGAACAAGGTTGGGATCATATTATTTGCTCCTTCCTGATTTCTCTGGCAGAGGAAATTGATTAGACAAAGCAGGGTCTTTGCACATTGGGCAAGTGGGCATTTTATTTTATTTTATTAAGAAGAAGAGGGAAGACCAACTTTGAGATGGACTGATTCCATAAAGGAAGCCACAGTCTTGAGCTTGCAAGAGCTGAGCTGTGCTGTCAAGGAGTGTGCATTCAGAGGGTTGCCTTAAGTCAGGGATGCCTAGATGCCAAGTAACAACAGTAGCTTATGAAAAGGGCAAGTAAGAGAGGACAAATTATGCACGACTTGGAGAAAAAGGGTAATACTGTCATAATACCAGAACCTCTGGACTACCCAATGAAGCTAAATGATAGGTTATCCAGGACTGATCAAAGGACATACTTCACACAGATCTTTTCTCAACTGTGCAATTCACTACCACAGCATAAACATAATGGTTTTTTTTCCTCTACAACAATCTGGAAAATTTGACAACTTCTTTTGAGCAGGGAAATATATGTAGACTTCATTGTTAATATTTACCAAGGCACTGGCCAAGCAAGTCTGCATATTTGGGGAGCTGTGTATATATCTATATCTATATCAATCAATCAATCAATCTTTATCTATCTGTCTACCTATCTACCTATCTCTGTGAAAGGTCAGAAAAAGAATAATTTTAAAGCTATACTCAAAGTTGTGCATGTTTGTGCCACCCATTTTTTAAGGGTTATAAGCCAGTGACAGTTACTCCAAATGCTTGGGCATTGGTGGAGTGGCTATCACTGGTGTTGGCACAGGTAAGGTAATGTAAGCCAGCTTAGATTTCTTGCAAAAGGAAGCAAGGTGGCATATAAATGTAATAACAATAACAACAATGAAAACCCTGCGGAAAGCAGTCCAGGTTTGTTCCACATAACAACCTGCCATGGCTGATTAGGGTTTTTTGTGCCATGTGGACCCAGTCATTTTTCTTTCACCCTTTCAAAGGCTGAAAATTCTTTGTGCCCGCATTAGTTTTGCCTTAATAAGACATGATAGTAGGAATCAACAACTGTAGAGTCACAAAGTTGGGGTTGCCAGCCTAAGGAAAAGAAGGCTACAGAGGAAGTGTTTTCTGTGGCAAAGGGAGTTAATAGCCCCCTACTGAAAGGGCCGGGATTTGGAACCAACACCTCTTTTTTCCATTCTCAAAGTATTTATTTATTTATTTATTAAAACATTTTTATGCCACCCCATTCGCCGGAGCCTCGGGGCGGCTTACAACAATAAGTTAAAAAATAATTATAACATTAAATTAAAAAAAATATAAACATTAAGTTAAAAATACAAAAATACCAATATAAAATAAGCTGCCCTGGTATTGAAAGACAGTAGGTGATGACAAAGACAGAATAATTTCAGAAAGGAGAATTTCATAGAGGCTTTTGATGGAAATGATGTGATTTCCTCAAAAACAGTCATACACCAAAGATGACCAAAGGGATAGTCACACTTGATACCGATTCATGTTTTCAAGCACTAAAGTTGCACTTGTATGTCATGAGTAGGATAAATTTGTTCTGTTTTCTTTCTTAAACTTAGTTACTCAGCAGTGGGAACAGATACCTCATCCGAACTGACGACATGCTTGAAACTGTTTATAATGACAAAGGAGAAATTGTCAAAACCAAAGAACGACGGCTGTTCATGCTAAATGACGTATTAATGTGTGCTACTGTGAATGTCCGGTAAGGCTCCAGGTTCTTTTCTCTAAAATGCTTGCTTGAGAACCCAAGATGAGAGCGATCCTTAATGCTGGTCGGAAGCATTCATTTTCACATACAGTAATTGTGTTCTGCTATGTGGCTTTATGTTCTGCCGAGACTGTGAGTATGGTCTGGAGCCCCAACTCACTTGTACAACATATGCTTTCTTTGAAGAAGGTCCCATATTTAGTGTCTGTGTGAACTGATTGTGGACTCAAGGAGGCTTCCTCCTGAGTCCCTGGAGACCAGTGGCTAGTTGATCTGGATGAATGTACTGTTGAACCAAGTTGCCTTCATTTTCTGTGCAGACCTAACTCTTTGTGAACTGTTTGAGCTTTGAAGGAATGTGGATTAGAAAGTACCTTTTATTTGCAGTTGTTTGCTTTGTAGTGATCCACATTTTGAATTGGGCAGGTGGTAAGTTCTGCTGCCACTTCTGGCATAGAAGTTCTGACCTTTACATATTTCATCTTTAAAATAGGTTACCAGTGTTCATTCTACAAAGGGCAGAATTGCAAAAACATTTGTGTGATGCAACAAATTACTTACTCCATCTGCAAGAGTTTTCATACACAGCTGGGCTTCTTCTCCCCTTTCACATACTGCTTTCCATTTTTCACCAACAGGTGAAAAATGCATGATGATAATGGGGCATGGCTTTGGTGCCATTAAACACACACACCCACACACACACGGATGTACATAAAAATGATAATATGTGTGTTTCATAGTGTATGGCTTTATATCTGATTTTAAACATGCTCTCTCAGATGTATGTCCTTTATTCAAAGTGCAGCTGTTTCATATTTGAAGCTTTATGTTCCAAACACACATACATGCATATATTATTAAATTCCTTTGAAGACAGTGGCAACAAGCAGTTGCAATTACAGTAGGATTTATACTCTAGGTTTTGTCTTCTCAATTCACAGTTTAAAGGTGTGTCAGAAAGGCTTTGGTGCTTGCTCTCATCTCTGTCTTCACCATAGCACATTCAGCTCATCCCCATGATCTAACTCTGAACATTTCCTTGATTACACATGACTCTGTGGAACATCTGACAGCCACACCCAGTGCCACTTGGGCACGTCAGTTCAGCTGCTAGAGATAATTGACCAGAGTGACAATCCTTAATGCCACTCTTGCCAGGTTGCTCTAAAGTGTTTTGGACTACACCTGGACTTGTTATGTCATCTGGGTTTAGATGATCCAGGAAGCCCAAAGGTAGCTATAGAACCCTACAACAAGCCATGGCTTGTTGGAGTGACTTTGTAGCCACAAAGAAGCCACCCCACAGAAGACATGGTGGGTTCAGACAACATGTTAAGCCACTGTGCCTTCAAAGTGATGATAGCTTAACATGTTGTATGAAACCTTTCAGTGAGAACCAGAATCTGGGGAGCAGGTTGCATGATGTAGGCTGGGTGAATCTTTTGCCACAGAGAAACTCTCTTCAGTAGTAGTAATACTGGAACTGTATCATGTGCATTGGCTCAAGCCTATTTACTTACAGTGTCAGTCACTTACTGAGTTCAGACTGTTGTTAAACTGTGGATTGTTATTGAACAATGGGTTATCATGTTGACCGAAGCCAATGCAGAAATAAACCATGATGAACTACCCACAGTTCACAACTCAACAACAAACCATGGGCTGTTGATGGTTAACGAGTCATGGATTGTTAATGTGTCAGAACCAAGTCTCTGTTTATCAAATGCTAACAGAAAAAGTTAACATATCAAGCAGCAGTGACTGAAGGTCTTCCAAACAATGATCATATGTGATATATGGGATTATGATTTCTCCAAGCTGTTCCCTCAGCCCTGCCCCCGAGAATGTAAGGCCATGCCATGTGCTTGTAATAAAAACAAAGAGATATTTGTTGACCTCCCCTTCCCCATGTTTTATGTGAGTTGAGAGTATTTTATACACATATTCTGAGGTAAGTGTTTTTTATGGAAGCTTAGAAGCAACATATGACCAAGATCTCAGACTTGTTCCACAAGGTGTTTCCTGAAAATAGGTTGCCCTGCGGGACAGAGGGAGAGAGAAGGGAAGACTGCAAACCTGCTTTTTCCTTTTGGAGGATAGCATGCTGTCCTTTAATTAGAAAAAAACCAACTTTTTCTTTGGAAAGATTTTATTGTTGTTAGGGAAACAGCTTAAAAATAGTGGAACATCATCAGGAAACGTTTTTTTAAGCAAAGAAAACTCTTTCCTTCAATTTTCAGCTTACTTTGTGATTTTGTTGTTAAATTACAGATCTCTCATCTCAGATGAAGAGATTTATAATGCACTTTAATAAATGTTTTCTTAGAACTAAGTTCCACTGAGTTCAGTGGGGCTTACGCTTGCAAGTATGTATACAATTACAGCATTAGAAATGATAAAATGTGGAGTCACCTATGAAATGGAAAAGCATTTACCTGGGTTGAAATGCTGGATATATGAAGAACCGGTTCCCCTCAGCACTGGTTAGGCTTCAACTTGAGTGCTGGGCATACTGGGCAGTGTAGACAATCTGGAAAAGCCTGAGGACCAGGATCTGTTCTCGGTCATCCCAGAGCATAGGATACGGAATTAGGGGTCAACTTACAGGAAGCCTGGCTGAACATCAGGAAAAACTTCATCACTGTCAAAGCAATACAACAATAGAGCCAATTTCCTAAGGAGGTTGTGAGCTCTCTCACATTGCTTGTATTAAAAATGCAGCTGGACTGCTATGTGTTGAGGATGGTTTAACCTGGAGTTCTTCACCGAGATGAACAGTTGACCTGCTGGCCTTATTGGGTCTCTTCCAACTCCACTGTTCTCTGATCCTGTGATAAAATGGATTTCCTAATTTAGCACATTCTCTTGTGGCCTTCTTCCAGCTCTTCCCATGAAAGTAGTGGCATCGTGACTGGCCAAAGATACTTATTAAAATGGAGCGTGCCCCTTGGGCATGTAGATGTCATTGAGTATGGGAGCAGCGAGGGTCAAGATGAGAACTGCAGGTTTTCTTCACAGCATCCATCAGAGAATATAGTTGCTAATGCCAAGCCAAGTAAGTATCGGTCAATAATTATTCATGGCTACAACTCATTGTAAGTGAGCTTGGAGTGTTCAATGAGACTTTTGCATTAGCATGCAGTCTTAGCATGGCATACACTATGCTCTTTGTGTTGGTTTTTAGAAAGCATAATGTTCCTAGGACTAATGCTTAGAAAGGGTGATCTTACAGGCCTCATGCAATGACATGCAGTGTTTCTTGTATGAAAACTACAAACACTTTTTAACACCAGACTGGGATTGGAAGTCATCACTGAACCAAAAGTTCCACAGAGTAATTGCAAATTATGTCTGATGCACACCTTTCTTTTAAGGAGCGTAACAGAAAGTTAAACGCTTGAATTCTGACCAAAAAGTTTACTGCTATTGGACAATGCAGCTCATCCTGTTGGAGGAAATGTAAAGAGTAGCATCGGAAGGGAATTTAGATTTGCAGAAATGAAATGATCCCTCTTCCCTGATCGAATTAGCAACTCCCACCCCCACGCCTTGGCTGCTTTAAAGTAACCAAAAAAAAAAGGGGGGGGGTCCCTGTTGGGATGTCTAGCATAGATATTCCATGTGACTTTTCAGGCCATCTGGGTAATCAGGGACCCCTAGACTTTCTGCATTTCACCCTAGGGAATATATGAACAGGTCTGCCAATGGATACTAGCCTCCAATAATTTGCTTAGGATTGATGTGGTATCACCACATCTTGTAATAGTGACTTCCTAAAGTTTATTATACATTATTAGTCCTGAACTCACTTCTAATCAGTTCTACTGGGTGATGCTGAGTAACTGTTATTCTGAAATGCACATTTCTCTCCAGTTTTTCTACATCATTAGGCTTTATTTGTAAGGAAAAAGTTCCAACCACTTTATTATTTCAGCTATCCTTAGCAGCTAGATTTGAGAAGGGGTGGAAGGAAATAGTTCTAATTGCATTTAGAAAAGGATTACCTTTTCTGGGACAGCCATGGGGATGGTTTACAGCTTTATAAAAGTGAATTTAAAATAGGAAGTCTTAAATCTTGTGAGGAGTTTCTCATTTGTGTCTTTCGCTTGCATTTCCCATATCTCCATTTGTTCCTCTCCTGAACAAAACCCAACTTTCCACCTTTGAGTCAAGAGCTACAGCTGTAATATGGTTACTGCTTAGCTGACCCCAGAAGTATATTCCATTTTACTTTTAGGATAATTCTGCCAAATGCTAGAGTGATGCAGGAGAATTTATTGCTAACTGCTTTTCAGAGGTTCTGTACTCTAAAACAAAACTTTATAGTTTACAGTTCTAAATCTGTAGGAAATAGTACAGTGAGCAAAAATACCCGGTTCGCATCTGTCACTCATCTCTATTCCCAGTGCCAAGGAATTCTGTGACATCTGGCTGACCATTCATTATTGCTACTGATCACAAGGCACTGCTTCTGTCATCCAGAGACCCAGTTCTTGCCCATGTTCTCTACTGGGTGCCAAGAGAATGACTGTTAGGGAAGCTAGAGGAAATCCTCCAGTGATTCAGACCAAAGCAATATGAACCCTGGCCCAAAAGCGTCACATTCTGGACTCGGATACCAGATTGCTCTGTGTTGGGTCATCATGTAGGCAAAATGCAAGCACAGCTACCTGCTGCCCAGTTCTAAATGGAACCTCATCATCTTCCACTTGAACATCTGCAGCACTTTCAGTGTGAAACATAGAAACAGAGCAAGTCAGAAGGGGCCTCCCAGGCCATCTAGTCTGACCTCCGGCACCAGCCGGCTCTGCTCACGACATGCCCACCATGTGCATGTCCAGCCTATGTTTGAACACCAAGGTTCCATTTAGATGCCAGGAAGCACTTCCTGACAGTTAGGACCCCGAGGGTGTGGAATGGGCTTCCACGAGAGGTCGTTGAGGTCTCATCAGTGAGGGTGTTCAAAGATAGGCATTGAAAGCATTATCTGGGCTCATCTTTGAGACCGAGAGGTTTGTTGCATTTAATGGTTTAGTAGCTTTTTAAGGAGCTGACTGCACATATAGAGCTCAGTGGCAGCTGGCCTGATTTTAGTAAAAAGGCAGCACACATGAAAACTGTCCTGCTGAATTAATGTGCCACAGAAGGATGCCAATCTACGTTCCGGTGATGAACAAAGAGAATTACAGTGATAACAGTGACTTGATTTTCCCTTTTCAGTGCAATCTGTAAGAACCGTTTATCCTGCCTGAACTAGCTGTGGACATGGTTTAATCTCTTGAATCCTCTTACCTTTAAAAAGAAATAATGAAATAAATCATTTAGCTTTCTTTCTTTTTAATTGGAATGAGTATTTTGTGGGGAGATCAAAACACAAGACATCCTACTGTTGTGATGGTTCTGCGGGAATAGGAGCAGCCTGTGCTGTTTGCCACATCTCACAGTTGACTGCTCTTACTGGCTTACACTTTCTAAGGTCACTTGCGGCATCACGAATTTATTGTGATGAAGGGTTCATTTGGCTCAGTCTTCTTTGTATGGATTAGGGTTCTTCATGTTCCATGAAGTCAGAAAATTGTCAGATAGTTAAGGCATGCCTTGTTAAGGCATTATGCATGCCTTGATGGCATATACATATTAATATATACATGTATATATGTATATACATATATGTATATACATATTAAGATGTATATACATCTTAATATACATATTAAGATGGAGGCTTTACCTTTGTCATATAATAAGGAATGCAGTGGTCTTGTTTAATTTTTCTTTTTAATCCAACCCATATGACCAGCTTAAATGTCCAAGATTTTACTGCTGGATACAAAGCTGCTTCTTTCCTGACCTTGGAATAATACAATATTATTGTTCTCTCAGATAATCCAATACTAATATTTTTAGTGATTCATTTTAAACCCACCATCAGTGTTGCATGTGTAAAAAATCAAGATGACTTCGGCTATTGGGCGTTAGCTTTATTTTATATTGTATAAAATAATGTTCCTCCAACTTAATTTTCAGGGTACAAAGTGCTTGGCAGTACAATAATGTACAATTATGTTCGAGCAGAATCGCTTTCCATAGCCTTTTGGTACATGTCATTCCAATCTAATTTAAGTAGATATTACTGTTCTCATCTTTCCCTTCCAAACATGAGACAAAAATGCTTTATGTTCATACATCCTGCAATTGCACAGTGCTTCTGCGTGTCTCTGGTGGGAATGATGCTCATGCACACAGACTCCACTTGAGGATAAAATTCTCAAAGTAAAGTAAAGTAAAATTCTTAAAGTAAAGAAACTTTAAACATGACCATGTTATTAGAAAATCTGATTTAGCATTTTTTTGCAGTGATTTTCCACTTTGCTGCATCCCAAGTGTGAGATGTCAGATTAGTATAAAATGATGCTTACATTTCTGTGTTTAAAACATTATTTCATTTCCAGAATCCTTGGGTTGTATCCAATGTTAGTCTAAGTCTATTCATACAATGAATCTATTCTAAATAGGGCTGATATTAGGGAGGGAAAGCCTCTGTCTATTAAATCGAAGTAAATATAATTTGATTTCTCTTTAAATAATGTCATAAAGTTAGCTAATATGTAAATTCTCTGATTCCTCATTCCCTTTGTACTCTGCATCCATGTCTCTTTCCAATGCGGCACCCAACCTTATTGTGAAAGAAAACCATGAAACTTAGCTAGCTTTACCAAGCAAAGCGAAAACCAGAGCTTCCCATGGTCTCATCCTTCTGCATCCAGTTTGCTTGTTGAACGGTTGTTATGGGGGTGGGAAGAAGCTTCCAGCAGTAGCCATGGAAACAGTGAAAGCCAACTGAAATGACTGTTGTTGAGGGGGGTGCAGATGTAAAGAGGTTCACTTATATAACAAAATGTGCAGGAAGTTTGTGGAGCAGCAAGAGCTAAAAATAAACCTCATTTACTTTACCACTGGTTTTAACATTGAAAAATGAATTTATAAGGCCAGGGAGTTGGAAATCGACATCTAAATCTCTGCTGAAGCTTTGCTTTCTCTTTAGCTAAGTCCGGGGAGGATTTTTGGTTTGTTTATTTTATAGACTGGAGCTGCTGGCTTTTTAACGAAAAAGAGGGCTTGCAGATGCTTGATAGAGTGAAAAGCTGATATATTCTTTACTAAGCCATGGTGCATAGGTTTGGGAGTGGCAGGAGGGGAAAGACAGCAGCATGGGAACTGGAGAGACAGTCTGTACAATTAGTGGTAGATACATGGACATACATTTCTGACATGTACTGTAAAAATAGAAACATAAAAATCATTTATCCAGAAAAGCAGACTTATACAGCTTTATGCCCAGTGCAAACAATAGTCCAGAAACTCTTCTGAAACTAAGTTTTTGTGCAGCTTTCATTCAAGCTCAAGGCTGTTTGCATGGTCATCCAGCATGCATGTCACTGGCACAAGGTGTTCTGCTGGTGTCTGTATGTTGTTGTGTGCGTGCGTGCATTTGTGTGCATACTCCCATGTGGGTGTGCATGCAATGAACACACTGCAGGCTGCTGCGTTTTCTGACTTATATTTTTAAAAAGTAAACAGTATGTTAAAGCATTTCAGGAACACATAGCATAAATCTGAACCTGTCCTGAATCTGGTTTTAGGTAAGCTCTTGCATGGATAAAATCAAGAAGACTTTATAATGCAATGGATATAGTGAAATGCGAGTTCCAAAAATTTTAAGTTCCATATTCTTAGAGAAGAGCTTCCCATTTAGAAGTGTCTTGTCACTTCCTGGAATTATATTGAATCACATGGCTGAATGTTGCTAATGCATGCTCACACGTACACGTATACACCCACATTTTCTTGCACTTAGGAAACTAGCACACTAAGGTAAGGATTAGGGTTAAAGGCTGTCACAAAGAAGGGCAAGATCTCTTCTTGCTGATGCCAGAGTGTAGGACACGGAATAATCCAAGTTGCGACAACCCAGATTCAGGCTGGACATCAGAAAAGCTTCCTTGCTGTCAGAGCACTACAACAGTGAATCCAGCTGCCTCGAGAGGTGGTGGGCTCTCCCACACTGGACAAATTCGAAAAGAAACTGGAGAGCCATCTGAGTGGAGTGGTGTAACGTGGTGTCCTGCAATAGCAGGGGGTTGGACTCAATGGCCTTCATGGCCCCTTCCAACTCTACTATTCTATGATTCAACCAATCAGTTTTTTCAGTCAGTGGTCTTTTGACTGTGCAGGGGGGTGGTATTTATTTGGGCAGATGCTATTTACATTTTGAAGTAGAACAGTCTCAGGAAGGCTGTGCTACTCACTTTTCTTGGTTATGTTGATCATCCCTTAGCAGTGTGTGCCTCCTTCAGGTATTTTTCTGAAATGAATGCCCTCACTCCCCTTTCCATGTGCCCCTTTTTAGGAATAGGTATGTCCTTAGGAGACAAGGTCCTTTAAAGACACATGCAAAGTCTTTAGAAGAAATGTATATTAACATATGAAAATGTTCATTGTTATTGCCCTGTGGGCATGAGCTGATACTCAGATGTTTAGGTACCTAGCCAAGTTCCTGGTACTCATCCTACGTTTTGGTCAAAATCAAGGTAGATATGAATCTGTATTTGATGCTCAGCTGATTAAATTTTGGATATATGGTATTTTTTGTGCAGCTGTTCATTCCCCAGTCCACAAATTCATAGCAGTTGCCTTGTTTTTTCATACATAGCTATTTTTAATGTATAAATACCTTTTCCTATATGTGAGCTACAGGCCTGTGATAGTCTTTCACATCCCATCCATTTAATTTCTTCATCCTCGCAGCACGGAATTCTTACATGTTTCATTATGTGGCTTGATTACAAGCAGATGGCTCGGTGGGCGGAATCGAGACGTGCATTCTTGTCCTTGCAAGAACTGTAGCTGCCTTGTCCCATCTTGCCCTGCCATCCCTCACAGTATTATTCACAACTGACATCACCTTCAAGCCTACAATTGGCTTTGTGTCTTCTCAGTATTATAATCTTAGTAATACTGTATATTGTCAGGAAAACCTTTTCTTCCCCTTGCATCCATTGTATTTAGCACATGAGTGTTAATTGCCAAATCTATTAACAGGAAGTTTGTTAAATCTATTAACAAGTCAAATTTAAATGCTTAATGTAGATAATATGCTCCTTGCTCTTGGAGCATTATTAGTGATCTGAAGGGGCTTACATCAGTGCTGGGTGGCAATGCAATGATTGTGTGTAGGTGCAACTATGAAAAATCACACAGACTTGATGGCCCTTTAAAGAGAAAACAGGAGCACTGAGGGTGGCACCATGTGCTCCAAAAACCAGGAAGTGCATCACTAAAAGAAGAGGGCAAAAGAAAGAGACCTGCACAGAATGTCCATTTGCTAAAACACACACACACAAAGAGAGAGAGAGAGAATTACTATAACTTAAATAGAAACAAATCTATCTCAGCATAATAGGGAAGACTGGGCTTTACCCAGTGTTAGTCCAACATAGAGTATACCCATTGAAATGACATGGTAGTTCCATGTCAATGTGTAATACTCTCTTCCTGATTTTCTCAGCATTTTGTCCTTGAATGGACATACAAGGCTTCATTTATTTTATAGTAAAGTCAACTGTTATATCAGAAAGGAAAGAAATCCCACTTTCCTTTTTGCTTTACTGCCATGGAATTGAAATTTTATTTATTTATTATTTCCACTGCCCCATTATATATGGGGTGGGAAAACTGTGGCTTCCAAGATACTGTTTGACTCCAACTCATATCAACCCCAACTAGCAAGGGCAGTGGCCAGAGATAATGGGCATTTTAGTCCAACAGTACCTGGAGTGCCAAATGTTCTCCACTCCAATATACACAAGTTCATGTTCCTCGTGAATTCCACCCAGTGGCCACTGAATTCAGTAGAAAGCCTTCCTTTCAGATCTGAGCCCTGTTTAGGCATTTGCATGAAGATGGAGAACCCTGAATCTTCCCGAGTGGAGGGCAGCCTTTTAAAGGGGAGTGTCTCCTCTTTCTTTGCCAGTCTGAATGCAGCATTTGAAATCACACAGGGTGCCTTTGGAGACACTGGAAATTTTCTAATCCAGAATGTTGCCCTCTGCTTCTAGATGGTGATGGAGGGAGATGGAGTTCACAGGGTCCTCTTTAGCATGTATTTATAGCATACAGAATGCAAATGCATGAACTGGGCTTTGGTTACTTTTAATTCTTATCCTATCTTAGTTTTGTGTTACTATTTACATTTTCTTCCTCTGTTTTTTTTGCTTCAGCGTTTATTTCTAAACATTGCCTGGGTTCAGACAACACAACAAGCCATGGTGGGTTTTTTTGTTTGTTTTACCATTATTGGTTTGTCACGTTGTCTTAACCCAGTTGTGAGATTTCACCGTGGTAGGCTTGGTCTTTAGAAACCATCATAAGGATAAAGGTTTGTTCAGTGGTCTGTCTGTACCACCATGGCTTGTGTTGTCTGAACCTAGGATCATGGTTTCCATGGTCATGGTATGCAACTACCACAGAGTAACCTGAAGAGAATTGCAACTAGAGGAGCCACTCCAGTGACCCAACCTCTATGAATGGACCAATGAGAAAAAGGCAGGTGGCATGGGCAGAGAGCAGTGCACCTTGGGAATGAATTTCAGCCATAACAGCTGATGAGATATGTGGCAACAGCAGAAGAACTGAGTGGCGGTGTTGGGGGAGGCTACAATAATGTAGAAACCACTTGATCATCTGTTGGGAAGATTATGGTAAAAAACCATGAACCATGGTAACCATGCAGAGTTGTTTGCCATGTTGTGTGAACACTGCCATTTAATTGTTAGTTTCCCAGTGGTTTCCTTGACTTTTCTGAAGCGTACAATTTTGAATCCTGCATCTTTATTGCAAGCTGCTATGGCACACTCATTAAAGTGCTGTACAGCATGTGCAGTAAAGAAGTAAGCCATTTCTTCAGCAGCTTAGTATCGATAAAAATACAGCTATTAAGTCTACAAAAATTCCTATGGTGAGTTGTCTAAGATTACTATAACTGTGTGACAACACTATTAATTAAATACTTTTTAATGCATTCATATAATTTAGCTAGAATGTACATTTACCCTTCTAATTGCTTTCAGTAATACAGTCTGAAACAAACAGTTTAGCTTATGTCTCTGCTCTTCAAGCATGTGTTTTCCTTTAATATTTTCTCAGTTTCACCGCCTTTTGACAGTTCGTTAGGGGGCCAAACACTTTCCCTTGTTGCACTTTTTGGGTAGGAAAGAGGAAATATTTAGGCACAGTATATCTCAAATAGTGCAGTACGTCAGGACAGCGCTTATGATTACGTATGCGTCCCAAAAGATGGATTAGGGGAGAAATCCCATGTTGATTTCTGAAGAGAAAGAAAAGAAATTTAGAAGTGTTTTTTGATTGACTGTAATAGAAAGTCACTACCCCCCAATTAGCAACTATAACTTAGGGCCAAACTAAACACAGCTCCAGTCCTGCTTTTAGCAAGGGTATGCATTTATTCAGTTATTGTTTTTTAAAGTAAATACCAGATGCTGAGAGTGACCCCGGCACTGTTACTACATTATATTTTGAATTTAATTAGTAAGAAAATAAGCTATGTGGCTTCATTCTTGTAGCGATGGGGATAAGTACAGACGGAGTTGCTTATTGTTTCTTCTGCAGGCAACAGCGCTAGCCACTGTCCAGTTTTTAAACAAACCAAAATAAAGCCTCTACTCCATTTTAAAAAGCAACATGCTGGGCTTCCTTTGCCAATTAAGCATATTCTCGATCCCAATTAATTTTGATGAAAAAGCAGTTTTTTAGCCTATTATCCATATTATCCATATTTGGGGCTTTCCCCTCTAATCCATTTATTTCAAATGCAGTTGAATCTATGTAATGATCTCATCTGAAAAAGAGCACAAACAAAAGCTGTCTCATTTAACTTAAACCGGTGTGCTCTACAGTGTTGCATCAGACATGGAAGGAAAGTCTATATATTAAAAGCTGAATGAACAACAGACTTCCTTTTTTGTAGGTTTAAATACAGGGTGTTGTTCTCTGACTGCAGAGCTAGCTGTATGTAGCACCCTAATGTGCATGTATAATTGGATCTTCTTAATGTGTTTCAGACAAGCTTTATATGGGACCAGGGCAATTGTACCATGATTTGCAGAATCTCTTGCATGACTTGAATGTGGTTGGCCAAATCAGCCAGCTGATAGGCAGTCTTAAAGGCAACTACCAGGTAATGTGTAAAAACTAACCAAGCTCAAGTTGCATTTCAGCTGTGTTTCCAGCTCTACAACTTCTGAGGGTTAAAGTAATCCTTCATGTTGAAATGTGCCAAGGAACCGCATGCAATCTGTGCATGTCCTAAATGGTTGGTTGTTAAATGTTTAACTTTAAATTTGTAAGTAGATTACAGATGCCTTGCTGATCTTGTTTTACTCTGCTGTTTTTATGTGTGACTTACACTGCAATAATAACAGCATTTTCTCAGTAGCTGCCAATTTGTTATGGAAGAAAATTCTCTCATGGAATTACACTGCTTGTGGATGGTAATACTGCTTTGACACAAAGCACGGTGCTGTCAGAGCGGAATTACCCTTTCAGTGAGTCCTTGGTTTTGATCATTGCTGTGGTTTATGTGTGGGCATCCAGGTGTTCCTTTCAGCCACAAACTACCCATGATGGCATCAAGCATATGGCATCCCATGCAGGTTTCAGTTTCAGAAACTAAGGGGTGAGGGGGATGCTGAATTCTTCCTACTGCCTGCTTGTCTGTATGAGGCCTCCATCTTGCTCTTTACTTTGGGCACTCTGTCCTCAGGGTATCTGAGCCTAGCCAGGAGAAGAAGCACTTCAGAAACTGGAGCAGGGCCAAGAGCAGCAAGATGCCCACATTCACTCAGGTGCCTCCTTAGCACCTTAAATCACCTGCTCACCCCCTTTCCTTCAGGTGCAAAGGAGGCAAACCTGCATGCAAGGACACGCCTCACCTGCCATCCTATGTAGCTTAGAGTTTATTCTATTAGTATATTTTTATGAACAGAATAGGTGCATTTTTAGAATGCTTACCGAAGCCATGTTAGAGAGAAATCTCTGACTTATAGTTTGAGTAGTATTTCCATGGAAAATATTTTTTTCAAGAGTTTGATACACATAGTCAAGATAGCGGAATGTATGCCACAATCCTAATTTTTTCTAGCATATTATGGAATTGAACTGAAAGATAATAGGGTTCTGATTGTGGAAAGAAAATGGTTTAAATTTGATTCATATGTTGACATCTTTGATTTATATGTTAGGTAAAGAGATATTTGATTAATATGGTATGTAAAGTGACACAAAGTTTTAGCATGTAAGCAAGATTTGGAGACCTGCTCTCAAATTTCAAAATTCTGAATTTCTTGTGAGCAAAAGTACATGATACTATTGTAATCCAAATTTGAATCCTGTCTGTGGTCCAGGATTTCAGAGTACTTGGATTATACCTGCTGTGCAGTCTGATCCTAAGTAAGCTCTTTGGAGTTTAATAGGATTGACTCGGCAGCAGGTGGACTTCACGAGAGCCCCAACATACCTCTTCATACAAACTCCTTTGGGCGGGGGCAATTTAGATCAGAAAAGCTGTGCAGCAAGGGGACATGGAACCTGTTTCTGAGTCCAGACTGCCCCCTCCAAAACACTTCAGCATTTGTGCATATTGTCTAGCTAGCGCCTAAGTGTATTGATGTTGGTAAAACTAAAATAATGCTGTTGTACTCGTATGTTAAGGGGATTGCCACTTAGGAAATCCTATTGTTTAATACCGTTGCAGTTGGAATATAAACTAAACATGAGCTTGTAATTACTTTAGCATCTTTTTCTCTCTTTCCCACCCTCTTTCTGCCAGAATTTAAATCAGTCTGTGGCACATGATTGGACCTCAGGTTTGCAGAAGCTTATTTTGAAAAAAGAAGATGAAATAAGAGCTGCAGACCGCTGTAGGATTCAACTTCAGCTTCCAGGGAAGCAGGACAAGTTAGTAGAGCTCTACTGTGGCATAGGAGAGCAAGGGTGCTGTGGAGCAAACCCGTGACATGGCAAGAGGGACACTGTGGGAGGAGTGGGAAACTCTCCCAGGGCACCATCCCGTCCTTGTGGGACAGAGAAAATGCCTACCATTCCCTCAGTCCGCATGGTGAGCTGTAGGACTGCTGGAAGGTGTGGGCCTTTTTTCAGTCTAAGCAAGCTCTTTATGCTTTACTTCTTAATTCTGGAGGCAGCCGCAGAGTTGTGAGGGAAGAAGAAAGCGGACTTGGCTTGGAGGGCGACATTAAAAACACAGCTACTGCCCTGGGTGCAAAGAGGTCCATTTAATACATGGCCAAGGGAACAGGGCCATGTATTAAAAAGAGTCCTGGTTCCATGGCCATGGGGCAATCCTTTGGCATCCCTTTTCATCCTTTCCCCACCTGTCAGGCTTCTTAGGTGTTTTTGCTGTATTAAATAAATACCGTTTTCCAGTTGTGCACATGTTCATCTAAATAAGAACATGGGCTATTGTACAGGACTTTCAGTCATTTCTTTTGTGCTACTCATATGCTCTGGGAAGTCTTGTTTCTTCCTACCAAAGTGATGTGTTAGATCTTTTATTTTATTATTTTATTATTTACTTCTAACAGATCAGGACGGCCTACTTTCTTCACAGCAGTATTCAATACGTTTACCCCTGCCATCAAACTGTCTTGGATCAAGAATTTACAAATGGCTAAGCTTGCCCTTGGTAAGATTTCTTTCTCTTTTTTAGTATTCTTAGAACAGCTATATATTAAATTGAAAGAATTTGGGCCTCTGGTTAATTTTAAAGTTAAAATATTAAAAAGAGTGACTGTGGCTTTTCCCACTGCATGCTCCCAAATATATACCTTTCCCTTTCCCAGTTTATCTTGCTAAATGTCTACCTGGTCATTTAGGATTGCCTGTGTTTTGATATGGGGAAAATGGATTTTTAGAAAGGGCATATAAATTTGATGGTTGTCTCATCTTTCAGAACAGAAGCTAATATGAGAAAATAGTTTGCACAGTGGAGTAACTTTTCAAATAGAAATGCATTGCCTTTTCTTCCACTTGCTATTGCAGCTGAGGAGAATCTGCAGGGTTGGTTCTGTATAGATGATGATGGGAATCAGATAAAAAGAGAGAAGCATCCTCTTCTTGTTAAGCATATGCCCGTGATGATGGCCAAGCAGCAGGAATTTAAGGTGAATGGTATCAGCTTCATTATTGACTCAGGTGTGCATAGGCAAAAATGGGTATACTTCACTGAAGATCAGACTTCCTATTTTACCGAATGCATGGCATAGAACAAAGTCTTTGTTTGAACTTTAATTACATGTGTGCAAAGCAGGTATCCATTGTTCTTAGAAAGCCAGATAAACACAAAAAGTTTATTCATTTCCTCCCTGGCTGTGACTGAGATGCAAATCCCCTCCTACACATACACTAGCATGGCTATGGGTCTCAAAAAGAATGTCTCCATTGGTGCCAGTCTTGAAGCCACATTTTTGTCCATCACTGCTAGGGAGTAGGATTAGACCCCTCTACCTCCCCATGTGCTGGAATTTCAGCACCCACCCTGGCCCTGTGATTGACTGAAGAAGAAACAAAAGCATAATTGGATGGTCTGTATTTGGAGTTAAAGTTCAGTTAGGTCCGAAGATGAACTGAAAAGAGCACTGTTGAACCAAGTGACAAAGCTCTCATTGGCTGCTATTCAGTGAGTTTCTAACTTCCCCCCTCGGTTCTTTTTTGGTCCACCAATTTCACTGCAGAAGGGGCCCCCACCACTCGAGCAACTGTGATTTGTTGGTGGGTGCAGCCTGCAATGAGCAGCAATGCCCGTTTCTTGAAGAAAGCAGGTCTGTCTGCCTCTTTCTGTACACAAGTGTCTCTGCTCATTTCAGGGCTTCTCCCTTAAGGAATGATAAATCTTCCTTGTAGAAACAGTGGGTCCTGTTCCCTCAACGGAACTGGTGGGGACGTAAGCCCCCCATTAGATTTTGTTCATCTTCAGTAACTCGCATGGCATGAGAAGGTCCCACATTCAATCCTTAGTGTCTTCAGGTAGGGCAGGAAAAGCTGCCAGCCAGGGTTGGCAGTGCTGGGCTAGTTGGATCAGTGATCTGACTCAGTCTAAAGCAGCTTCCAGTGTGCCTAATCTTATGCTCAGCTGTGCTGTAGAACATAGCAACAGTAGTGATCCTTGTCCGAATGCTTTCATTGGAGAGATAAGAGCCTGGGAATGCAGAGAGATTTGGAATGTCCAAGAACAGCTTTCTACTCTATTTAGCTAAGCTAGTGATTAATCATGTGATATCCCAGGGACAGTTAATACCATATTGATTCCGTGAAGGGATTCTGATTCCAATTCTGATTCTGGGCTTACTGGGAATATTTGGGCTCCCCTCCCCCACAACAAAAACAAAACAAAACAGACCGACTAAAACAAAAGATCCTGTGAGATCTAAAGGCCTACAACTAAGTCTTGGGGAAAAAATATTTACAATTACTGTTTGTTATTGTAATGTTGCTGTCACCAAATCCTAGACTTAGATTTTGATGCAGCTTAACCAAGCAGACTGAATTTGTGCTAACAAATTTTATGTTTTGTGTTAAGGTTGAATGCGCTGCTTATAATCCTGAACCATACTCATGTGAAGAAACTGATCCGGATTCTCTTTCTGCAGAGCATGGATTTTTGTGGGTAAGAATTTACACTCTAATGATCAAGTGATCAGGACTAGAAGTAATAGAATATAAATCTGGTAAGTGGAACGTTAATCAAAACTGGATTTGGGGCCAAACCAGATGAGATGCTGGAAGGCCAAAAATAATACGTCTCTGAGAGTGTTTTAGCTTCTTTTCCCAGGTCATTTCCTCTTGTTACGTTCTTTCCCTACAAGCTGAGCTTGTCCTTGCCTCCTGTACATTTTACCCTGACAACAGCATTGGGGATGGGTCAGGAAGAGTTTAAGCACCCTTTCCTCCAATCCAACTTTGACTGCCCCACATATATGTATGCACACAAATGTATTCCAGAAAAAGAAACCAGGGGACATCAGCAACCTCCAACATACAACCTTTTGGTGCTCGGGTTAAGGAAAACAGGTTTTTGTTCTTGGCTCCTTTCAACTCCTAAAGCAGTGGCCCCTACAGACTTGAGCTAATTCCCACACCCATCATTGCACCTTTTAGCAAGTCTTCATTTGTTCTCACAATTTCATCCTCTAAAATTGTGTCCTTAGGGAGTTTGGTGATGAAAAGGGCCGGAGGAGTGGGAGCAACTTGTCCAGTGGGAAGTGGTGCTGGGCACATGCCTGGATGGTTCACCATCTATTTGCCTGCCTGTCTAGAGGGTATTTAGGCTCATAAACGCTTTTCACAAAAGACTGCTCATCCTCATTGTCCTTTGTTTTCAGTGACTCTCTTAGCCCAGGTAATGGAGAATAAGCATATTTTTAGATCTGGAGGCTTAATAAGTAGCAACTCCATAAATGTTTCAATATATGTGTGTTGCCCTTACAGGAATATAGTGTCTCTCTTTTAGAATGGGGTGCAGAACCTCATTTTGCCATGGGGTGAATTCTCTTTTGGAAGAGCTCTTGAAGGGCACATCCCGGGGTGGACAGGCCCAAAAGGGAAAGGGGGCAGGCCGAGCACTTCTTACCCAAACACCAGCATATTTTAGCATAAAGCTCTTACTGCCAGTAGCTGAACCTTCAGAAGAGGCATTTCAAACCTTAATGGAGACAAAACTGCACAAAAGAGAAAAACTACTGAATGTTTTGTGGGTGGCGTACAGCTTTCTGGGGAGTCTGGTGGCTAGTTTGGGGCTTCCAGAAGATAGGATTTGGCCAGTGGGACAAAAGGTTCTCCATCCCTGTTTCAAGGTATGACACTCACAGCTTACCTGTCAAAAACAGCGTGCATTTTTCTTTTTTGGTATTTTCATTCAGTAAAATATGCAGTCTCATGTTCATATATTTCAGCTTCCAGAAAAGCTTTATTTAATACCATGGCCTTGTTGAAGTTTTTATTAAGTCCCATGCATGCATTATGATTCAGAGAGATGTTGCTTATGAAATAATAATTATTTTTCCTCATTTAGATTGGCAGTTGTACTAATCAAATGGGCCAAATAGCCATTGTATCATTTCAAAACTCCAGTCCAAAAGTTATTGAATGCTTCAATGTGGAATCAAGAATTCTGTGCATGGTCTATATTCAAGGAGAAGAGAAACATAATGAATCAAATGTGTCACCAGAGTCCGAAAATACACCTGCAAAACATTCCAGTGTGCCTACCATTTGCCTGGGCATGGAAGAAGGAAGGTGATTATATTATTATTATTACTACTACTACTACTACTGTTTGCTTCCATGGATTGCATGGTAATTACTGTGCTTTACAGTGCGTGTGTGTGTGCGCACACATGTGCGCCCGAGAGAGAGAGAGAGAGAGAGAGAGAGAGAGAGAGAGAGAGAGAGAGAGAGAGAGAGAGAGAGAGAGAGAGAGAGAGAGAGAGAGAGAGAGAGAGAGAGAGAGAGAGAGAGAGAGAGAGAGAGAGAGAGAGAGAGAGAGAAATTAGTGGGAATTCCTCTAGGAATACAAGGAGCTCTTGCACTGGATCAGACATTTCTCATGGTAGGCCTGTCAGTTACTTAAACCTAAATCTCCTTATTTTGAACTGTCTTCGTGTGTTCCTCTACACATCACTGTCCCAACTACTGTAATAAATGGAGGGGCATGGGCAGTCTGTTTGGACACTGGAAACTACATATGGATCAACTAAAGAACAGTCTGTTTGGGTTAAAAATTATGAATTCTTCTAATTGTTCATTTGAGGCTACGTTCCTAGAGAGTTAATAGCCCATGCGCTAGCTCATGTTTGTATACATATGTATGTATGTATTATTGATTAGATTTATATCCCATTTTTTCTTACAACAAACTCAAAGCAGCTTACATCATTCTCTTCTTCCTGCTCTCAGTCTTCTTGTCACAATAACAACCCTGTGAAGTGGATTAGGCTGAGAATCTGTGACTGGCCCAGGGTGACCCAGTTCAGCTCCATGGCTGAGTGGGGACCGGAACCCAGATCGCCTGAGTCCCAGACCCGTGCTCTTTACCACTATGCCACAGTGGCTCTCTCATGTTGAGATCTTTAGCACCTAAACCTTGCATCAGTCTTTTCCCTCAACTCCACACACAGTGATTACAGCTGCTTTGAAGGCAGGAAAAAGGAGAGAGCATTTCTTAGAAAGCCACAGCTTTATGAAATGTGGGTTTTGGTTAGAAAGGATTCTTTCAAATTATAGCTTTCCAAGTTCAAAGATTTAATTTACTGTCACAATGAAACTACTATTAATGCCAGATATAGAGACAGAGATATATAAACCCCTTATTGCAGTATCTGTTTGTTTTGTCACAAATCCTTGTAGATTATGTCAGTAGGAAACACTTATTTCCTTTTTTCATTCATGCTGGGCATGATCCAACACCAAAAACCAGCAATGAAAATGTGCTCTCTGATCCTAAACATTTGTGTTCGCATCATTGTTATGCTCTTGAACTGTTGCTGCAGTACTACCATGCATTTGGGGCACAATATTTCTTTAACTGTTAAAATCACTTATTGTAAATGCTGAGATGGTTCCAATATTAAGTTAGTAGACTTATCTTGGTTGCAATGGATTTTGAATTACGTTCTGCACCGATTCTTCTCAGATCTTATCATTTTAGACAGGAAATGCATCTTTAGGAAGGAAAAGGTCCAACAGCTCTTAGCATTTCTTGACTAGCTGGGAAAGAAGGGAGATTTGTAGGACTTTGTAGGACCTTCTAAGAGGTATTATGCCATTTGAAAAGGAGTAGATCCATGCATTAAATTTTTTTCCCCCTGTTCAATAGCATCTCAGTTTACAAAAGCAGTCAAGGCTCAAAGAAAGTCCGCCTTCAACATTTCTTCACTCCGGAGAAGTCTACTGTTATGAGTCTAGCCTACAAGACCAACCACTTGTTTGCTGGCCTTGTCAATGGGAACATTGCCATCTACACGAAGTTGGAAGGTATAGAAACGGCATGCAGTGTTCTGAACTCTTTCTGTTTGCAGCAGCTTGGCAAAAGCAGATTTCATGGCTCTGTTTTTCCTTTTTCTGCTTTCAAATCCACATTGTCAGTATAGAAGCATTCTTTTTTAGCATGCCCTTTAGATTTCTGTCAGGGACAACCACCCCGACCACTGGGTACAGTCATTAGGATATGGATGTGTCGAAGCTCCATGGAATCCATCCCTCTAGCTTTCATAGGCTTTCTCTCATGCTCATCCTGGTCTTGGAAAGTGAACTGAGCTGAGAGGAAGTCTGCAAATGCTTGTGGATAAAAGACTGCACAACAGGCAACCTTCTTCCACATCATGTGCAGCAGCTGAACAGAAGCTGCTGCATAAGAGGGATGTTGCTTACACAGCGTTGAAACGGACTCCAGACGGGTTCTTTGTATGTCCCTGCACTAGGTGCCATTGGCATGTTGGTACATGGTGCCATTGGCATTGGCATGACACCAAGCTGTCTTTCTTTGTAATGCCTGAATCAGGAACACTGTGCAAGTCTTGGACTGGTGTCTGGATCCAGTGCTGGCCTGGATAAAAGTGGTTCCTGGAGCTCCAGTGGTTCCTGTATCTGCAATCGGGTCAGTCACCTGCTCTGAATGGGGTTGCCCTCCCCCTGAAGGAGCAGGTGTGTAGTTTGAAGGTTCTGCCTGATCTGGCACTGTCGCTGAAGCACAGTTGTCTCTGTCTAGGATTGGCTCTAACCAACTCCAGCTATAGGAAGGCTGCTATGGCCATTCCTGGACAGCTTTACCACTGTGCTTCATGCACTGCTTCCCCCAAAACGGGATTACTGCAATGAGTGTTTGTGCAAGGCTGCCCTTGAGTTGGTCTAGAAGCTGCAGTGGGTGCAGGAGGCCACAGCCAGGTTGGTGATGGGAGTGGCTGGTCAGCAGCATATTGCACCCAGCTGAGGGGAACTGTGCTGGATACCTAGAAGCTGCCAGACCAGGTTTGAAGGTTTGGTGCTTGTTTAGAAAGTTCTAAACAATTTAAGACCAGGATATCTAAGCAATCACTTGGCCCTTTATCTCAGCAGGAAATGTCCTCCTGGTGGTGCCCAAGATCTTGGCAATTCAGTCCATTCTGCCTTGGAATATGGCCTTTAGTGTTATAATACTCATTCTCTGAAGTGTTCTACTACTACAGATTAGGCAAGTGTTGACACTTCTGTGTTTTCGGTGCCTAGGAAAGGCCTCCTTGTGCTAATCAACTTCCATACAATGGTGATCTTGTCCTCAAGAAATAGTGTTTTATTATGGTTTTATACTGTACTGTTTTGTGTGCCACTTAGAAATTGATTTTAATATAAGGAATTCTCTTTGGACATCACAAATTGCCTTCATGAGTATCACACTGAAGCTGGAAAATCTGATGAACCCATTTTATTTATTTATTTATTAAAACATTTTTATGCCGCCCCATTCGCCGAAGCCTTGGGGCGGCTTACAACATAGATAAAACAAGTTAAAATCCATATAAAATAATCTTGATTAAAACTCACATTATAAAATAAGCCGCCCTGGCCAGATAAAATTCAATTGTATTTAGCATTTAAAATGTTGCTTAAATAAAAA